CACTTTAATCTTTATGTTCATTTCAAAGCATTTCACAATCTTCCCTATTATGCTGAAATCAAAGGGATCCCTACCATTCCTCTTAGTGGGGTTGTTAGAACACATACCTGGAGTTAGGGTCCTGTGCTACCAAACGTGAATCCGAGAATTATCTGATTAGGGAGATGAGGCAGAAATTTGGCAGCCCTGAGGGTTACTCTATCTCCTAGCTGGAAGGGGAACTAATTCAGAATCAAACCAAACCACCACGAACCCACTCTGGATGGAAGGAGGGTGCAAATAAAATACAAAAGGGTCGCAGTGGCCCTGCCGGCTCCTCGTGGGTCAGAATGGAGGCCTTGACCACGATGTCTGTCCTCCCTGCGCCTGCCCCACTCCCAGGGCTGCCCTCCTCTCAGAGGAAGGCCTGTCTGACCCTAAACTCAGCCTTCGGTATGAGCATGTGAGCAGTTTCAAAGTGGAAACCGCCTCTCCTCATAGGGAGCACGTTGCTGTCTGCAGGTCTGGCTGCTCCAGTCCAACGGCTCCGGACAGGGTCAGAAGCAGCCCCACATACTGACGATGGCCGGAGAAAATGCCTGTGTGAGTTCCCTGAGGACGAGATTTCTCTCTGCAGTTTTTGAGTGTTCTGTAGGAAATCTGCCAGGAAAAAAAAAGGGAAACCTATAAATAGGGAAAAGTGGGAAGAAAAAATGGGGACTTGTCACAATGTCACTGAAAAAAAAGGAGCTGAGAATATTCTGGAGATTCGAAGTTAAAGGGGGATTAATATTTACTAAGAAACAAAGTATTGGGCGTGTGCTTGATAATGAAATGAAGGCAAGAAAACGTGAACTAAGGAATACAACAGAGGCTTGAAGGTAGAAAAATGTTCCCACTTAAAGTTGCATTCTTCAGGCATGTACAGATCGGAGAAAAAAGAGAGAAAATAGGATATAGTGACCACTATTCTGTCTTGCACTGACTGAGAACTTTACAGTTGCTTTTTAACTTCATCTTCCAGCTCCTGTTTCCCAGATTCCAGGTCCCATTCGCTGTGAAATAGGAATGATTAGCAATGATGACACTCAGATGTTTAGCGGTAGACAAACATTCCCCAGCGCCGACAGCTAACCGACCGGAAGCTGGCGAGAGGGCGGATGCTCCGCGGGCGTGGGATCCTGAGGCAATGGCAGGGATGTGGGAACGGTCCGGGCGGTAGGTGACCACACACAGCAGGCTCTGAAGAGAGGCTGTTCACCAGCCCTCGCGGGGCCGACATGGTGCACACCCACTGAGAGCAGCTGGGGGTGGGGAGGGGGGGTGACCCGGGGCAGTGGCCTCCAGGCAGGCACAGGCCTTCTCTCCCTCTTGTCCTCGCCCTCCCCAGGGCGCTGCTCCACTTGCATCTGGGTCTTCCTGCTGCTCCCCGTTTGCTGCTTGCTGCGCTGCACCACTGCCTGTGGCTTCCAGTGGCAGCCCGTTCCATGGGGCCTTGGCTGCCCCCTACTGGTGCTTGGGTGGAGAGCAGGCAGCAGGGACCCTCCTCTTTTGCCACCCAACCCTTCCAATGTCCCCAAGATGAGCACACCAGGCTGTGCAAATTTATTTATTGATTTTTACTAAAGGCCTGGCACAGTTTCAGAAGGGAATTATAGTGAAGAAAAGAGTTCAAGTCCAAACTCACCTACATTTCTAAAGAAGGCAGGGTTTACCACACATCATGCTTGGCCTGCCCTGCATCTTTGCCACCCCCTCCCCTTGGTGCTTTGGCTGAGAGCAGGGGCATGCCCCGCCACCGCTGAACCCTCAACTCCTGACCTGGGGCAGCAACCAGCTTGTTTTCTGTACCTGTGGCTCTCTCTCTGTTTTGCTTTTCTTACTCATTTGCTTTCTTTAGATTCCACATATAAGTGAAATCATAAGGTTTTTGTCTTTCTTTGACTCTTTTCACTTGGCATAATGTCCTCTCCTTCCATCCACGTTGCTGCAAATGACAACATTTCCACTTTTTAACTGCTGAGCAATATTCCATTGTATGTATGCACAACTTCTTTTTGTTCAGTTATCTAGTAATGGATACCTAAGATGCTCCCATATCTTAGCAATTGTAAATAATGCTGCACTGAACGTGCAGAGAGGGGGGGGACGGCGAGTATATATCTTTTTGACTTAGTGTTTTGTTTTCTTCAGTAAATACTCAGAAGTGGAGGGGCTGCATCACATGGCAGTTCTAGTTTAAGTTTCTGAGGACCCTCCACACTGTCTTGACCAACGGCGCCACGGGTTCCTGTTTCTTTAGGTCCTTGCCAACACTTGTTATTTTTCTTCAATCTTTGATAATAAGTGTGAGGTGGCAGCTAACATTTGAAGAGGCGAGGTGACACCACATTGTGGCTTTGTTGGCAGCACCCCCTGGACTGAGAAAGCCCGCACTCCAGACGGCGAGGGCAGAGGCTCTTCCGACTGATGTTTTAGTTCGTAAACATTTAGATATCATCTCCTGCCCCCCCCAAATACCCTTGAAGCCCCCACAAGAAGGGAAAGGGGGTGTGACTGGCCGAAGAGAGAAGTTTCCTTCCGCAGTGCTGCCCCTGGGTAGCTTGCGCACTCTTACTGGGATCCGTCTGCACAGCCCTGGCGAAAGAACAGAAGGCAGACGGACACAGGAGTGTTGTGTGGGGTGCATTTCCAATCTCTGCCCGTTCCCCCACCTCTTAGTGATGGCAGAAGGGGAGGGGGACTACAGTGATTCACCAAACCTGTAAAGTAAGCATATAGCATCCTCTCGCTGTCTCCTAGGTTCCAGGAGGCTCTGCAACAGGACATAAGCTTTGTCCGGAGTAATGATCAGCTCAGAGTCGGATATAAGACTCCATGAAACAACCTAAAACTACTTGCACATGGAAAAGGACTGGGTTGTAGAGAAGGGAAATGGGCCCAGGGCAACCTTTCCGAAAAAGAATATTGTACTAAATAATGTGGAGACAAACTCCCTTTTACATGTGAGGAAACTGAGGCACAGGGGAATACAAGAACTCGCTCAGAATCACGTGGGAAGCAGGTCAGAATCTGGCCTGCCTGTGCCCGGGTTGTCTTCTTCACCCCCACGCTGGCGTTTGTCTAACGTGACTCATGGGTAGAACAACTCTACACCTGTCCGCCTCCCTTGAATGGGCCTTGTTCACATGTCTGCCTGATGCGGTTTATAATATCGCCCACTTGGCTCTGGAAAGCCACCCAGTTGAGACAATAATTTGGTCCCTACGCATGGACCGCTGTGTCAGAACAGCCCAGGAAGCTCGTTAGACGTGCAGAGGCCTGAGCCCCGCCCCAGGTCTGATGCCCCCTGAGGGTTGGCCCTGCAAATCACTCACAGGTATTTTCACAGTGTTTCATGGAATCCCCAGGTGAGTCCCGAGCCCTCCTACGTTGATGAGTCATCTGTTCACGCTATTCTGCCTTCCCCAGAGGCCCAACCAGGGCCTGGGGAGGTCCCGGCGGCCCCACCAGATCAGAGGGTTGCTCCCAGACAAGGCGTCTCTCTGGGGTCTTGGAGAGTCTGAGTGGTTTCATGCTGGCCCACCTGCCAGGACAAGCCTCATCCGCCAGAGCCCTCCCCTTCACCTTCCCCCTCCTGCCGCTCTCTGCAGGTCGTCATCTCCATTAGCCCCGACTTTGTCCTAACACATGCCACGCAAGTTCAGGCAACTTAGGAGTGAAAGAAGGTGCTGTGGTTCCCAGCCGGGGTCGCCCACCTTCTAAAATGGCAGCGTAGACAGCCTACCTCCTGGACACACCGCCCCCCACAGCAGCCCCAGCAAGCAAAGGTCTCATCTTGGCTGATCCGATTCGGCAACAGGGACCCCTCTCCTAACGAAGGGTATCTTTCATTGCTAGGGAACTGTTGGCCGCACAGCACCAAAGGGGGTCTTGAAGACGGTTTCCGTCCATGGGCCAGATCATGCCGAGGGCAGCCTCGTCTGTTCCTCCTCTGAGTGGCACCAAATGTGTCTTAGTGACACCGCTTCACACCATGTTTCTCACCTGGGCCACCCTGTGCCCACGTCTTCTCCTTTCATGGCGGCATTGCCACACTTTTCCTGGGGCGGGGAGAGGAGTGTGTGGATGGGGTTGTCATTTGTATTACGTCATTGCGTCGTGAATTTGTTTTCAGTTTCCCATTGAAATGGGCCCATCATTCCCACTCTGTGAAGTCGTTTGGACCCTTGCTTGGCCTTGGAGTGACTCTAACATCTCTCCCACTGTCACTGTGAAATGTCACGAGCGTGTCCTTACATTCCCATCGGCGATGGACTAAGAGCCCAGAGCCCCGCCGTCCAGCACAATGCCTCTCCAGCCCCTGGGTGACCGTGGGGAGGCCTCTAGGCCTCTTGGGGTTTTGAGTCCTCGGTTCTAAAAACGTGAGGGTGCTATGAACTGGCATTGGAGGCCGGACAAGGTCAGGAAGAGCTTATTTTTTCCTCTTCCCAACTGAGATGTCTTCCCTCTCCTCTCCACGGGACCAAATCTCACTTGTCCTTCGGGCCCACCCCAAGGAGCCCTCCTTGGTTCCCCAGGCCGCACACACCTCTGCCTCTCCAGCTGCTGGCCACTTAGGGTCAGTGCCATAAACCTAGCTGTCTTAGGCCAATCTTGCTTCTCACGCTGATCTCAAGATGGAGTTTCTCCAGGCTTCCTGTGGTCCCCAGGGCCGCTCCCATCCACAGACGGGCTCCACAGGTGGCGAGGGCCAGGTGTGAAGGCACAGGTAGGGTGCCTCTGGGCCTCCAGCCTGCTGCCCACAAAACCTTGAGAGCCTCGAGTCACAGATTCCATAGGTGACCTCACCAGGTAGTGATGACCTCACGGTTTCCATGGCAGGGTAACTACGGAAACGCGGAACCTTCCCTACCATTTCTCTAACAGACACCAACCTGTTTGGTTGCCTGAGAGAGAGAGAAAGAGAGAAAGAGAGAGGGGGAGAGAGAGAGAGAGAGAGAGAGAGAGAGGGAGATACGATGATTGACGAGATCATTTGCGTTCAGTGTGACTTGGCCCCTGTGCCCTGGGAGACCAGCACAGCAGGTAGGCCTAAGCTGGGCGTCTGTCTGCACAGGAGACACAGGTGTACAAACAGCCTCGCCCTTTCGGGCTTGTCCGTCCCCCCTGACAACTGCCCAGCCTACGTACTGCACTGCCCTGGGCCCCCCAGAGACCCGCGGCGTCCTGCCTGCTGCTGAGGACAAGGGCGTGTCATTCCTGGGCAAGTGTCCACAGAGGTTCCCATCTTTGCCAACGTAGCTTTGCCCTTTGGGCTATGAGAGAGTCCATTCGGACCTTTACTGGTTGGCCTTTTACCGAAAGTCAAGTGCGTTTTTGTTGATAAATGGCAGATGGGGACGTCTGAGGAGAGTTGCTAAGTGCAGCTCATGAACCCCGTCTCCTTCAGACACGGTCACCTGCCCTGCGCTGTCCCGTGGACGTCCACAGGGGTCCCCTCGGACACGCCCCAGGCTAAGCGGCTGAGCGCCGGGGGGCGGGGCTCCACCCAGGGGAAGAACAGAAGAGTCCAGGGCAGTGAGGGCCTGGTGCTGAGGCCGAGGACCGAGGGCAGGGCACCCGGAGGGGCGCTGGGTGGTGGAAGCGCAGACTCGGGGTCCGGAGTCCGGCTCTGAGCCTCCCGTCACTCTGCCCCAGCACCTGGCCTTCCTCTGGTCTCGGTGGGGGTATCGGAGGACTGGAGTTCAGTGCGGTTGAAAAGCCAGCGTGAACAGGGCCTGAGGGGAGCTGTCGGGAGGGGGTTCTGAAACTGATGTATATTAAATTATTTTTCTCCAAAATTTGGAAGGCATTTCCTTAAGGCCTCAGAAATGGCAGGCTGTAAGGAATTGTTTCTCTGTTGCAGGAGAGATGGGTGTCAGTGACTGGGGGGCAGGATCGCAACTGCAATTATTGTCGGGTTCGGTTTTCTCTGGGAACGGGGAAGGTACTCTGGTCTCCTGCTGCTGCCCGAGGCCCCAAAGAATTGCATTTGCAGCCAAACCACCCCCCCTCCCCTCAGGGTGCGCGCAGAAGTGAGGGGCCAAGGCTGGGGTTGGGGCACCACGCAGATCGGGAGGCTCCAGCCAGAACCCGGGAGACAGGTGAGGGGGGGACGTCCTGGCAGGACGCTGCCCAGCAAAGTGACCGGTCAGTTCTGATTTTCCCTCCGGCAGGTGTGCCTCCTCGCGTCTACTCTTCCACTCCTGGCCACTACCATGTGCCCTACGGAAGACCTGGAGCCACGCGGGTGGGCTGGCACGGAGAGACCTACTGCCTGGTCGGTGGCTACCGCTGCTCGGGGACGCTCCCCTGGCCGCCCCAGCCCCAAAGAAGGTGGAAGCAAAGAAGCCAGGCCCCAGGCGAGCGCCGAAGAGACCTCATCCCAGGGACAATTGGACCCAAGACCTCGGCTGCTCCAGCCCCAAAATCCAGCGACTGGAGCCTGATGACAAGAAGCTGAGCCCTCAGAAGCTTACCCCAGCAAAGACGGTGGCAGAGAAGCCAGTCCCCAGGCGGGCTCGCAAGAGACGTCATCATGGGCAGGAGTCGGATGAAGACCTCGGCTGCTCCAGGCCCAAAATCCGGCGACTGGAGCAGGGGGACAAAGGTCTGAGCCCACAGAAGCCCTCTGGCTGAGGCACTCGGCAGAGGGGACAAAGGTTTAACAGCCCGAGACAACCAATGGCTCTTCCTTCAGGGACCGCCTGTGCCATCCACTGGCGATTACAGCCCCAGCCATTCTGCCTGAGCCTCCTTCCTCAGCCAGGGGCCTCCTTCCATCCCAAGCAGCCAGGGGCAAGGAGCCGCAGACGCCGAGTTCCAAAGGGAGGCTGCTCCGGACACCCCGGGGCTGAAGCTGGCGGGCAGAGAGCCCAGCCGGAGAATCCTCTGCTCCATCCTCAAGAGCCCCTCCTTGGGCAGAAGGACGAGCAGTCCGCACCCTGGGAGCCGAGCAGGACCCAGGAGCAGAGAGAGGGTGCGGTGGGCCCACCCAGCCTACCAGGTGGGCTCTGGCCCTGAGTCACGGCCAGCGGCCACCAGCACAGGCTAGGGGGCTTCTTGAAACGGAAAGAGGCCGTCTGTGGTGACCCAGGGAGCCTCCAGTCTGGGGTCTTGGGAGCAGAACGGGAGGCTTAGGAAGCGTCTGGGTCACATGAGGTGGTCAGGGAAGGCTTCTCCGAGGAGGTGTCTTTCTGCGGAGATGGGAGGGATGGGTCACGTGAAGAGCTGGAGGCGGAGCATCCCTGGAGGGCCATGGGGCAAGTGCGAAGTCCCTGAGGCAGGAATGCCTCAGCCTGGTCCAGGACCCATGGAAAGGCCGGGGTGGAGGGGAGGGGGGGAGAAGAGAACGAAGACCACGGTGGGCCTGTCACCCACGGTGGGGAGTCTCGTCTTCAGTGGATGGGAGTCCCGGGTGGGCTTGGAACAGGACAGAGACGTGATGTGCAGGGACGATCCGAAGACCACTCTGACTGCCGGGCTGAGGCAGGGAGGTGCTGGCTGTTGGCAGTGGAAGTCTCCGCAGGTGAGCGGGCAGTAGGCCCTGGGGTGGGGGAGGGGCGATATCGGCAGACAAGAAAGAGCCATGGCTTTGGGCCTGTGTCCCAGTCCCACCTGCCTCAGCTGCCCAGAGCAGGGGGGAGGCACCATCAGCGGCCTGTGGCCCTCAGACCAGGCTGACATCACCACCCAGTGGACAGCACGCTTGTCCTCAGGGGCCACGGCAGCACGACCGTTGCTCCTCCCCCGACACACGCCCAGGGAAGGTCCTGATCACCTAAGCAGTCTCCCTAACCTGGGTTAGAGGGGGAGGCACACGCACTGGGACTCCCCGAGAGTTCCACGGTGAGTGTCCGCTAACCCACGAAAGACAGCGGATGCCTCTTCCTGCAGTGACCACCCCCCACCCCCACTGCCCACCCCCGGACAGTGAAACCTTCCTGTCTGTCTCCGGTCCTCCTCGCTGGGACTGAGGCTGACTTGTGGCCACAGCAGAGTCAGATGCGCTGGCGATTCCCGGACGCCAGGCAAACAGACTGAGACTCGCCCGGGGGCCTCAGGAAAAGCGGAGCCCCCCAGCACCCACCCGGTCCTCCTGATGCATCTTAGGGTGGGGTCTAGACCTGTGCACTTTCCACGGTCCCCCCAGTTCCTCGTTTGTAGGAAACACGAGGGGCAGAGGGACGTGGGGGTGACACCACGGGGTGCAGTCCCCAAATTCCAGACAAAACTATTGGACAAAGGGGGTGATTTTTTCCCAAATAAGTTACAGGGAAGAGCTGTTTGTCGGGACGGCAGAGCAGGTCGATGCTGCGCTCACCTCCCCCAGCAGCACCGCATCAGGGCCACGGCCCGGCTGCAGAACACGCCCCGTGGGGACAGCTCAAAGAGCAGCTACACAGAAGTCCCAGAGAGTGAAGGACACTCAGAAGAAGCCACAGTGGCCCAGGTAGGAGGGCTGGCCATGTGGAGGGGCAGGTCCCACATTGGCAGTGCGGCAGGAGGGAAACAATATGGGGGGGTGGGCGGGGGGGTGATCAGGCTGGCAGTGCGGCAGGCGGGAAACAGTGCGGCAGGGGCAGGGGTGGGGGTGGGTGTCCGGGCTGCAGAGGTCCCATCTGGAGGAGCAGCGATCAGCAAAGGGTCCCAGCCCCACCGGGCGCTCCTCAGCCCAGGGTCCCAGGGTGGGAAGGACAACCCCCGTGACTCTGGCAGTGAACCCAGGCAGGGACTGCAGCCGGGGGAAAGGGACGGCTGCTCTCGGGAGTCCCCAGTTCCCCTTAGGGGCCGGGGCAGGGAGTTCCTCACTGGCAGACCCACTTGCTCGGAGCTCCAGCGCTGGGGCAGGAGCATGGACAGCGCCAGGGTCGTCCAGGGAGGAACTGCACTGTCTGGCTTCAGAGCGAAGGCTGGGGGAGCAGCTGTGCCCCCAGACCGACGTGGGGACAGAGCCACTGCTTTGTCATTGACCCACCCCCACCCAGCTTGCATCTGTCAGTAATTTCTTTCCATGTAAATTGTTCGAATGCTTCAATCAAAAGACTAGCTTCAAGGAAGGAAGGGAGAAAGGAAGGGAGGAAGGAAGGGGGGAGGGAGGGAGGGAGGGAAGGGAGGAAGGAAGGAAGGAAGTTAGTTTACTATGGAATATTACTCAGCCAGAAATCTGGTCACTTGCGACAACATGGACGGACGGACCTAGAGGGTATCAGCTAAGTGACATAAGTCAGGCAGAGAAAGATAGGTACCACATAACTCACTGATACGTGGGATCTAAAACACACATGAGCAAACAAACAGAAACAAACTCTTAGATACAGAAAACTAATTGATGATGGCCAGATAGATGGGAGGGGGGTTGGGGAGATGGGTTAAAAAGGTGAAGGGATTAAGAATTAAGAAGGTGCCAGTTATCAAATTAGTCAAAGAGATGTAAAGTGCATCACGTGGAATAGTTGATAATATTCGAATAACTATGCATGGTTCCTAAGATATATCAATGTCTCATCACTATGTTGTGCACCTGAAACTAATATAACTTTCTGTGTCCACTGTAACTGAAAAGTAAGAAATTATTCTAAAGGATTGCAAGGAAGACAAAAAGAAGAGCAACCCATGAATTATGAGTTATAAACACCAAATGCAATGCGGTGGGGGCAGGGGATGGAGGTCCTATCTACACTATAATTCAAATCAATGATTTAAAAGTCTGGCAGTCAGGGGGAATTTGGAAGTGATAGGTAATTTACGATATAAAGGAAGTGTTGTTGACTTTTTGAGGTGCCATAATAATACGGTGATGAAGATTTTTGTCTGTACTTATATTTATTTTATTTGGGTATAATGGACATACAAGTTTCAGGCATACACCATAATGTTTCAATATGTGTGTATTTTGTAAAACAATCACCACAGTAAGTCTAGTTAACATCTATCACCATACATAGTTGCCATTTTTTCTTTATGATCGGAACTTTTAAGATTTACTCTCTTTAGCAATTTTCAACTCTACAATACATACTATTATCTCCAGTCACCTTGCTGTATATTACATCCCTAGGACTTACTTATCACTGGAAGTTTGTACCTTTTAACCCCCTCACCCCTTTGGCCCACCCCTACCCCTCTGGTGACCACTGATCAGTTCTCTGTGTCTATGAGCTCATTCTTGGTTTTGCATTTTTAGAGTCCAGATAGAAATGATATCATGTGCTATTTGCCTTTCTCTGGCTGACTTCTACCACTTAGCATAATGCTCTCAAGATTCATCCATGTTGTTATTACAAATGGCAAGATTTCCTTCTCTTGATTTCCAAATAATATCCCATTTTGTGTGTGTGTGTGTGTGTGTGTGTACACATAATATATCTCTCACATTTCCTTTATCCATTCATCTGTTGATCGACCCCTGGCTTCCATCCATATCTTGGCTATTGGAAATCATGCAGTGATGAACATGCACAGGTACATATATCTTTTTAAATTTGTTTTGTCTTCTTTGGGTAAATACCCAGAAGTGGAACTGCTGGGTCCTAGAAAGAGCATGGGCTTTGAACGTGTGCTCCCAGGGTTCACGCCCATCACTCATGGACAGTGAGGCTTTGGGCTGAGAGCGGCACCTCTGAGAGCTGAGATGGATGGGTTATTAGAGGATGATGATGACAGGTGAGAGGATGGCACTGCAGGTGTGTAACCAAATGCCCTTTCTTCCTCTTCCTCCTCTTCTTCGACGTGAAAATGAGGCATTCCGGGAGCAGGAAAAGATGGGATGTTTGGGATTCGCTTAGGATGTATTCCAGCCAGAAAAGAAGGTGGCAGTGCCATGGCAGGAGGAGGACCCAGGACGCAGATGCAGCATAACGCCGGCGATGGCAGAAGCAGGGTGATGAGTCCATGGCAAGGGTAACCCTTGTGCTCTCCAGACATTTACGTAAGTCAGAAATTTTTATGATGACAATGAATAAACAAAAACCAAACAATGAGGCTTCTTGAAAAGATTTTATTTAGTTTATTTTTAGACAGAGAGGAAGGGAGAAAAACATCAATGTGTGGTTGCCTCTCACACGCCCCCTACTGGGGACCTGGCCTGCAACCCAGGCATGCACCTTGACTGAGCATCGAACCAGAAACACTTTTGGTTCACCAACCAGCGCTCAATCCACTGAGCCCCATCAGCCAGGACCAAACAATGAGCCTCTCAATTCCTATACCGAACCAGACGACGCCAGGACATAGGATGCACTTTTCATAATTGCTCCTCTGGCAGTTTATCTTGATTCTCTGGGTCGGTTCCAGCTCTCATCCATCGTCTTCTCCAGACTCTGGCAGGGACCAGTCTCCTCAAGGCTTGCCAGGCCCAGTGCTAGGGAGGCTATTGTTTCAGATTCTACACCCACATATTTAAAGTGACCAGTCTCCTCTTTGGAGTAACTTGAATACAGGAGTCTCATCTGAAGGTATTGTCTTCCTCTGCCCCACTCCTTCAGGGGGCTGTTAGGGTTAAGGTGTTCTCCGAGGGAAAAACAGCAATGGGAGGAACAGCCTGACCCCATGCGGAAAAGCAAGGCTGCGTGAAGGAAAGATGTGCAGGGTGAAGAGTGTAAAGTGAGGCTGGCGGTTTGACAGCCAGAGTCTCAAGGAGATAAAAAGAGAAGTGAACCATCATCACTCATTATGGTATTCGCAGCTAGAGGAAGAAATGATGGGAGTCTGAGCAAGGAAGAGAAAAAGGAAATCCGGGAATAAAATTGGAATGGAGGGTGGAGGGGGAAGGAAGAAAGTGTGAGAAATTGCGGGGTTGGGGGTGGTGACTGCACGGGGCACAAACAGTAACATTTGTCCATTTCTGGTTTCGATTAAGAACAACTATGTATGCACACCCGTTCATCTGCTGTGTTTTGATGATGCAGGTGGTGAGGCACTCCCTTTAAAAGCCTGGGAGGTCCGAAGTTGTACTCAGAAGCTGCCCACCCTAGAGATGAGCCCAAAGTTGAGCAGGGGGCCGCCCAGCTGACCACCTCTTCTTCCCTACAGCTCCGTGGAACTGGGCCCATGGGAGGGGGTGCTACGTTCGCCTTTGGGTGGCGAGGCTGAGGGCGGAGGCACGAGTCTCCCATAGAAGCCTCAGCACCCAGGAGGGCGTCGCGTGGCAGCGCACAGGGACCGACCAGGGGAATGAGTTGGTGATGGGTCCAAGCCAGGGAACACCGGCCTGAGAACCCAAGGGCAGACATTCAGCCCTGGGTGCAGTGCGGCCCTCCGCCGCACGGGGGCAGCGCCACCTGCCGGCGCGACAGCGGCGAGCCTCGCGCCCCTCTTGGCGACGTGGGCGGAGGCCGTCCACGGCGCCCTCGCTCATTGGCCGCGGCTCGGGCGCTGCCATGTTGGCGGAAGCGGTGCCTCCTGTGCCGTGGAAATTGGTCGTGGCTGCGGCTGCGGCGTCGGTGGGCGCCGTCCCCTGCTTCTTCACCTCGCTGGTGTCTCGGCGCTGACAGGCGGCGGCCGGCGGGATGGAGAAAAGCAGGATGAACCTGCCCAAGGGGCCGGACACGCTGTGCTTCGACAAGGACGAGTTCATGAAGGTGCGCTCCCCGGAGCCGGGCCGTGGGTGGCCTGCGCTCCCTTGCCCTTTGGGGACTCTCGTCGGGCTTCTCCTGCCCTGGTGCCCTCGGCGGGGACCTCGCTGCATTTCGCAGGGAGTCCCTTGGCCTCAGGTTTGGCAGGTGCAACCTGGAGAGAGCACTGCAGGGAAACCGTGCTTACTGAGTTAAAAGGCCTGACAGTTCTGGGCAAGGAGTTTCGAGTTGAGTGTAAAAGCCCCCTGCCGTTCCCCGACCCTGTTACCGTGCCATGCAGTCAGATTGTCGGTCCCTCGCCAGGCAGAAGCTTGGTGACTAGTGTCTGGCACGTGGGCCTCAGGAACTATGACTGAACAAAAAGGCACTTAGTCTGAAGTTTTTGCCTAACGTTAACTGAAAGCTTCTGGAATGAGATAGTTAAAATATTTGAATATTCTTAGCTGAGTTAGGTGCATTACGACAAAGCAAAGCATCCTCGTTTTTTAAAGCTGCCCCACTTGATCGGGTGAATTGGAGGTTGGTGTGCAGGTAATTTACAGGACATGCACTCACAGACTAGAAATATAAACTGAAAATATGTTACTGATCATGGAGATGAGTCAGGTCCAGCCTTGGAAATGCCCAAGATTTGAATCAGAGCGAGGAGGAACTTTGTCTGGCTACCTGGTGTATGGATCCCTCTGGGTCTACGCTTAAACAAAAGTATGTTTGTATGTTTAATTTCTGAGGATTGAGATTTTTTGACACCACCTACTAGCCGAGTTCAGTGTTAAACAGTTAAAACTGTTAGCTAATGATTTGAACAGGTGACTTTAAATCTCTTGCTCTGTGTTTTTTGATGAATTCCAGGCATAATGTTTTCTCTTTTTCTAGGTTAATAACCTGTCTCTTTTTGATACTTGCTTTCGGAGATCACATCTCCAAAACTCTGGTTTTAGAAAGTGCTTACATCTGGGTCTCTCCGGTGTGGCCATACCATTTTTAGCACGCGGGGCTCTCCAGGCCCAGGAGTCATGTCCTCTCGGTCTTGTGCAGGGGTGCTCCTGCCCGGCCACTGTGATTAAAAGTGGAACTGCCATGGGATGTCCGAAGGTGCAGGGGCAACTCTCCAATCCAGAAATCCCTCGTCCCACCCCCTGGCTGGGAGCTGCCCTGAAGCCAGGGAGAAGCTCGGGATACCTGGTGGGGAGAGGTGCCCTGGAAGAAGGAAAGGAGCCCGTGGAGGAGATCGGGCCCTTGTTCTGACTTCAGGCGTCTCGGAGCACAGAACACGCTTCACTTGTCCATCCCTGGGCGTCCTCTGGCTTCCTTCGGGCCCAGCACCAGCCCCCCGTTCTGACTCGCTGTCCTTCCCACTCTAAGCTGACTCGGCGCCTTTGCTAAAAGCGAATTCAGAGAGTCGAAATCCCTCTGAATACATAGGGAGAGGACAGACTGGGGAAGGGGCTGGAATGTCAGTCCTTTCATACTTAGTGGCTGGTGAACCTCTGACTGGGCCATACAATCAATTTGTGGTGCCGATAAATGTGCCCCCTTCCCGTGTGGGTGAAAAATAAAAAGAACAGCTCTTCTGTGTGAAATGTTGTTGACTTTCTGGGTGGTGCCTGGAGGTAAAGATTAATTGCGATTTCTATTTCCTTAGAAGAGATGTTTGTAAGTTACAGTTCCGTGTCAGAAAGGCTGGGTGGAGAGCTTGCTGTTGGGGTTATACTTCTACACTTGTGTCTCATTCAACACATTTTGTGATTGTGTGGGTTTTGTGCCTGTGGGGGGTTAGGAAATACCAGGTTTGCATTAGGAATGTTGAGATTACTTGAAACCCAGTCATTTGATTGGAAACTGTCGTCATTAGTCTGCCAAGCCTGACGGCGACCCTGCCGGGTCATGATTGCAGTTCCCCATTTCACAAACAGGCACTCATCAGTCACCCACTGTGTGCCAGCCAGCAGTCTAGACACGGCGGTAAGGGATAGGTACAGTGTGGTTTTGGCTCTTGAGCATGGTGCTAGGAGAACCGCGTGTGCCAAGAAACTGCAGAGTGGCTGGAGTGTGCAGCGTGGCCAGGAATGAGACTGGTGAGGTAGTTGGGCGGGGTTGCTGGTGCTTGAGCCTTGATACAGCCGTGAGGGGTCTGTGCTTGGCTCACTGTGGAGTTACAGTCCAGTTTAAAGCAGGAAATCGGCCGTATCTATTGCATTGGAGCTGCTGGTGGCAGGAGGCTACTTAAAAAGTTGTCTCCATGGTCCTGTGAGATCTGACAAGAACCACAGGGGAGGGGACAGGTTCGTGAGTGATGCAGGTGGTCTGGAGGCAGGGGTGGCAAATGGAAGAATCTCTTGGGGCCGAAGTGGTAGTGACATCACATTGTCAAGCTTCTTCAGCTTTAAGAAAGCACAGAACTCCACAGAGGGTTGACAGCGAACTAATAGATGAAATTGGACGTAAGACATTGGCAGTAGGAGAGAGAAAGTGGCATGCTGAGCTCAACTAGACCCATTTACCCAGACGAGCCATTGAAATCATCCTTCCCCTTCTGTCTCAGCGTGTGACTGCATCTCCTGTTTTACAGAAGAACGCAGAGGCCGTCAGATGGGAGCTGCTTCACCTCGCAGACACGGGCACCATTCTTGAGTTTATGCCCATCCTGTTTCTCCTGCTCAGCTGGTGGGCAGGGCCTGTTCCCCTCCTCTGGCCACCTCTCCCACCCGGGCTCGGAGCCCGTCGCTGCCCTTCTTCCCTGTGCTCACTCCCACCGGCTCTCCAACACACTCGTTTCGGTCTCTTTGCTCAGTCCTCCTGCCTCTCGTTACTGCCCTGTTGCTCTCTCTTCAGTGTCGGCGCCACATGCTCAGAGCTCTCCCTGCCCTCTCCCCTGTCACTTTTAAACATGTTCCACTCTGTCTTCTGGCCCCACCATTCCACTAAACAGTTCTCACCAGAGCTGGCAGGCCCTTCTCTCTCTCCCCGCTTGACCTCACAGCGGACCAGATGCTTGCTTCAGAGCTCCCTGATTTTCTCCTTGCCTCTCGGGTCTCTGTCTCATGTGCACAGCCATTCTCCTCCTCAAAGCCGTCAATTAGCGGGTTATGGACTCAGTCACATGTCCTCTCCTTTCCCTGGTGATTCTCGCAGCTTCAGCGACCGCCTATAGGCAGGTGTCACAGATTCATATCCCTGGCCCACAGGTCTCCTGAGCGCCAGTCCCTCGTACTGACCTTCTTAACATGTCTTCTCAGATATCTGTCTCCGTATCACTCCTGTTCAGACTCATGTTCAGAACTGAACCCCTGAGCACGCCCCACCCAGCCCCCAGACTTGCCCTCTGGTGCTCCCCAATTCAGTGGCTGCTCCCCCACCCATCCAGCTGTGAGTCAGAAAACCGGGAGTCAGGTCCTCTCTTCGTCCCCTTTCCCAAATCCAGGCTGGTACCAAGCCCTGTGGGTTTCACTTCCTAAACCTCGCAAGTCCGCCTGCCTCTCTCCGTCTCCCCTTTTCCTGCCGGTCTTCTGTCGCAGCTTCTCAAGTAGTCTCCTGGCATCTGCGTGCCGTTTTCCGGTCCGTGGTCTACACTGCTGCAGTGCGCTCATTTCAGAATGTACATCCGGGGCAGTAACAGGCTCCTCAGTTTGCCTGGTCATGGAAGACTTTCCGAAACCCTTGACAGTATTTCCCAGCAGTGCATTCTGTTGGAGGATGGTTCTTATCTGCGGACAGTCTGCGTCTGTGCTGAGCCCAGACCTGCCTCCGCTGAACCTCTGTTCGTCAGTTCCCGTCCTGAACCTCCCTCGCTTAGCAGCTTGGCTGGCAGCCGGGGTAGACACGTGGTGCCTGTGACGGAAAAAGGAATCGGAAACCCTCCTTGCGGCATCTACAATCTGCTAAAGAGCTGGTAGAAGCCCAGCGAGTCTTTGAGGCTCCTGCCCCTTCCAATTGGCTGAACTGTGAATGTCGAAACAGGAAGTGTGTCCCGTGGCGTCCCTGTGCTCATGGAGCGTGATTTGTAATGGACACAGGAAAACAGGGAAGAAGCAACTGCTCACACCTGCATTGTGCTGGTGGAACAGCAGTGGCCTGGAGCTGCGGATCTTAGATTCAGCTCTGCTGCTCCCCAGGGTGCGACTGTTGGTCCCTGTGGGCTCCAGTTTCCCTGTTGGTATAACAGGGTGGCACGGATCGAAATCATATTTATAGTCGCTTGCAGCTCTCACCATTGTATCTTTCTGTGAGGAAAGACTCTGGGCAGTGTTTCTGGTTTGCAGATTAGGAAATTGAGGCCCAGAGGTGTGGTGACTTCCCCCCAAGTCACACAGCTGGTTGGGACAGATCGTGGGTACTGTCTCCTGGCTCCCAGGCTCAGTCCCGGGAAAATCGGGTAACACTGTGCTTTCCAGAGGCCGCAGCGGGAGGTTTGGGAGAGGGGATCATTAGAATAGCATCAAAAATAGCCCACAGGGTGGCCCATTGTAGAATTGGGTTTGATTTTTTATTGTTAAGAATCCTTTGAAGCCCTGGCTGGCGTAGCTCAGTGGATTGAGCGCGGGCTGGGAACCAAAGTGTCCCAGGTTCGATTCCCAGCCAGGGTACATTCCTGGGTTGCAGGCCCTAACTCCCAGCAGCCGCACATTGATGTCTCTCTCTCTCTCTCTCTCTCTCTCTCTCTCTCTCTCTCTCTCCCCCTCCCTTCCCTCTCTAAAAATAAATAAATAAAATCTTAAAAAAAAAAAAAAGAATCCTTTGTACACTTTGGATCCAAGTTCTTTGTTGTGTGTGTGTGTGTTTCACGGATGTTTTCTCTGCTCCGTGACTTGTCTTTTCATTCTCTCAACAGGGTGTTTGCAGAGAGGTTTTCAATTTTAGCGAAATCCAAGTCATCAGTTTTTTTCTTTCATAGATCATACTCTTGGTGTTGCACCTAAATGGTCACTGCCAAGGCCAAGGGCATCTAGATCTCTCCTGTTATCTTCTAGAAGTTTTCCATTTTACATTTAAGTCTATTTTGAGTTAATTTTTTAGACCCTTCTGTGTCTTTGTTCATCTTTTGCATGTGGAGGCCCCTCGCTCAGCACCGCGTGTTGAGGACTGTCTGATGTTGTGTGTCTGTGCGGCTGCCTTCTCTCCCTGGTGTGCCTCTCTTTGCCAGCACCGCTCTGTCCTTACTCAGCATAGCCGTGTGTGGCTCCTGCAGCTTCCCTTTGCGTAGTGTTACTCTAGAATCTTTAACTGAACATTTTATTTGTTGATATTTGTTTCTTACTGAGATGTGATTCACCTAACGTAAAATTCCCTGTTATACTTCATTGGGTTTCAGTATATCTGCTGTGCTGTGTATCCATCTCCACTGGCTAATTCCGGAACCTTTCATCTGCCCAGAAAGAAACCCGGCCCCTGTTGTGTTCTTCCCGCTCCCCGTCCTCCGGCAACCACTGATGCACTTTCCGTCCTGATGGATTTGCCTGTTCTGGAACATCTCCTATCAGTGGGATCGTTCAGTGTGTGGCTGTGTCTGGCTTTCTTCACTTGGTGCAGTGTTTTCACGGTTCCTCCAGCTCGTGGCCTGTACGAGCACTTTTTTCCTTGTTGTGGCTGAATATAACATTCCACCGTGTGGGCACCCCACGTTTTGTCTCCCCGTTCATGAGTGGATGCGCACGTCAGTTTTGTTTGGTTTGTTTGTTTTTTGCTGTTGTGCATAATTGCTGTTAGGAACATTCATGTACATGCTTTTGTACGAACGCCTGTTTTTGGTTCTCTCAGGCGTGGCTTTCCTGGGTAATTTTATGATTGATTTTCAAGGAACTGACTATTTTCCACAGCAGCTGTACCATCCCGATGATGGTTCCAATTTCTTTTCACCAACAGGTGTTTTTTGTTCTGTTTCCTCACTGCATCGCGGCCGTCTCGGTGGGTGCAAAGTGGTGTTTCCCTGCGGTTCCATTCGAGTTTCCCTGCTGGTTAGCTGTGCTCAGTGGCTCTTTACGGGCTTGTCGGCCGCGGGTGTGTGTTCCTTGGAGGACTATCCGTTCCGATCCTTTGCTCATGTTTTTTTAGTTGGGTGTTTTGTCTCTTTATGGGTGAGTCGTAAGAGTTCTTTGGATGCTCTGGATACCAGAGCCTCCTCAGATACATGGTGTGTAGGTATTTTCTCTCATTGTACGGTTGTTTTTCGCTTTCTTAATGTATTTTTTATTTTATTTTAATCATTGTTCAAGTATGGTTTTCTGCCTTTTACTCCCATTCCAGCCCAACCACCCATCCCTCCCCACTTCCTTCCCATTACCACCCTCCCCCCAGTTTTCGTCCATGTGTCCTTTAAATTTGTTCCTGTAAACCCTTCCCATTCTCCCCTGAAACTCCCTCTTCTCTCCCCTCTGGTCACTGTTAGCCTGTCCTCTATTTCAATGTCTTTGACTATATTTTGCTTATTTCTTTGATTTTTGTTTAGGTTCCTGTTAAAGGTGAGATCATATGGTATTTGTCTTTCACTGCCTGGCTTGTTTCGCTTAGCATAATGCTTTCCAGCTCCATCCAAGCTATTGCAAAGGGTAGGAGCTCCTTCTTTCTTTCTGCTGCATAGAATTTCACTGTGTAAATGTACCCTAGTTTTTTGATCCATTCATTTACTGATGGGCATCTAGGTTGCTTCCAGCATCTAGCTATTGTAAATTGTGCTGCTATGAACATTGGGATGCATAGGTTCTTTTGTATTGGTGTTTTAGTATTCTTAGGATATAATCCTAGCAGTGGAATTGCTGGGTCAAAAGGCAGATCCATTTTTAGTTTTCTGAGGAAGTTCCATACTGCTTTCCATGGTGGTTGTACCAGTCTGCAGTCCCACCAACAGTGCACTAGGGTCCCCTTTTCTCTACAACCTCTCTAACACTTGTTTTTTGTTGCTTTGTTTATGATGGCCATTCTGACCGGTGTGAAGTGGTATCTCATTGCGGTTTTAATTTGCATCTCTCTGATAGCTAGCGATATTGAACATCGTTTCATGTGTCTTTGGATTTTCTGTATGTCCCCCTTGGAGAAATGTCTGTTCAAGTCCTTTGCTCATTTTTTTAATTGGGTTGCTTGTCTTCTTAGAATGGAGTCGTATAAGTTCTTTATATATTTTGGAGATTAAACCCTTGCCTGAGGTATCATTGGCAAATATGTTTTCCCATACAGTTGGTTCTCTTTTTCACTTTCTTAACATATTCTTCATGCACAAAAGTTTTTATTTTGATCATATTCAACTTATGTATTGTTTTCTGTGCTTTTTTGGTGACCTTTCTAATAAATCATTGACTAACCCGAGGTCACACGGATTTCCACCCCTGTTTTCGTCTAAGAGCCTTACAGCTCCAGCACTTACGTGTGAGTCACGATCCATTTCGAGTTGCACTTCTGTATGTGGTGTGAGGTTGGTGTCCAGACTCGTCCCTTTGCCTGTCGACACTCCCAGCAGCACCATTCATTGAAAAGACCAAATCTTAGCATTCGTCACAACAGGGGTGGCCCTCGAGGGCATCATGCTAAGTGTAACAAGTTAAACAGAGACGGACAGACACCTTGTGACCTCAGCTGTACATGGGGTCTACACAGCACCACCGGAAACCAGGCACATCGGTGCAGAGAGCAGGGCAGTGGTTGGTGGCGGGTGGGGAGAAATGGGGGCAGGGGTTCGAATCTTAATGAGGTAGATCCATCCAGGGGCCGTGGGGACAGCCCGGTGACAGTTAGTGATACTGTGTTGTGCAGTCGAAGGTTTCTGAGGGAGCGCATTAAGATCTGGTCACAAGAAGGAATCTCTGCATGGCGTGAATGTTCACACTTACCCTGCTGATGGTTTCCCGGCATATGCAAACACTGAATCGTTACGTTGTGCACCTGAGTCAATATGATGATATGTGTCAATTATGTCTCAATTTTAAAAGGTAATTCATATTTTAAAGAGAGAGACCAAAAAAAATCTGAATCACAATGTTAAATAGTGAAAAAAAATAGTGTTTAACTGCAGATTATCAGAGTGTGGGTGATTTTTTTAATCTGTTATACAGTTACTTCTTTGAAAGTTTTACATTGGACATTTATTACTTTTAAAATTAAGGGGGGCAGCTGTTTCTATTTTGAGAAGAGCCCATTTAAACTGCCTAATAAAAAGTAAAATAAAGTCCCATGTGAGATTTAGGCAGCAGGGGAGAGTGCTTTGGGCCAGGGCCCCCCCACTTCCCCACCCGGCACCTTCAGAAGGTCCACAGGCACCCCACACCGCCCTGTGCACGCAGAGAACTTTCCCCAAAGCCTCACCACCTATGGAGTGAGCAGGCAGCGTTCCCATCTAGTGCTTTCTCTCACTTTGCTTTTGCACACCAAGTGTATATCGTTGCAGCAACTTTTGCTTTCCTGGTCTTATTTTTAGGACGACTTCAACGTCGACCACTTTGTGTCTGACTGTCGGAAGCATGTCCAGCTGGAGGAGCTGAGGGATGACCTGGAGCTCTACTACAAGCTTCTTAAGACGGCCATGGTGGAACTCATCAACAAGGACTATGCGGACTTTGTCAACCTTTCCACGAACTTGGTAACCCTTAACCCCGCACTTCTGCCCCATTGACGCAGGTGCACCCGCGTTGTCCTCCTCTGCCCAGGGTCGTTCTTCCGAGTGCCGAGTCCTTCCAGAGCCTTTCAGTTGACCTTCCCCCTCAGAAACCTAAAGAGATTGCTCATCTCATTAATTAACAAAAGAGCTAAACTTTCTTGGTGTACATTTTTGGTTTTTCTCATTTAAGACTGTTCTAGCTTATTTTTAAATTAGTTACTAAGGATAGCTCTATGTATATATAATATGTAAGTTATATACATACATACATACATAAGTAAATATGTAAATAAAGGATAATAATACTATCAAAACAGTTGTTTTTGCTAGTTGCCAAGTGACTGCCATGACGTCTCACTGGTTGAGGCTGATTTGCAAGAATAAGCACCAGCTATTCTGAAGGAAGCGTGTCGTTCACTCTCCGGCAGTGTGCTGGCTAGAGCCCGGGTGAGGGGACCTTGGCCACTGTCGCTCTGCGGGGGGGCTCGGTTTTATAGAGATCTGAGAATGGTTCGTAATGGACCTACGAGTTGTTTGTAAAAGTCGCTCGGGAACGCTTATGTTTTAATACTTGCGAAGGTGTTGTCTTGTTCATATTTTATTTTGTTTTTAAATCTGTTTGTGTAAAGAAGTACAGAAAGTACTTATCTCCATGGGAATTTCAGGAAGCATTAAAATTAATGAGCCATGTTTGCTTTGAGAACTCTACCGCTAAGATGAATGTGGTAGATGTGAACTAGAAACTCAAAATATTTTATATCCCATTTATTTAGTTTAGATTTTTCTCAAAGTTTGTAATCACGTTTAGGGGAAATGGAACCCATCCGACAGACTTTGACATCAACTGGTCAACTGGTGTTCACCGCCTGTTACAATTTTCCCAAATCATTTAAAATTTCATCCAAAGGCAAACTGTGCCTAAGGAAACTTTCATTTATTATGACTTCCCTTATTTTATTGTTTCATGTATACCAACAGGTTTTTTTCATATTCTGGGAGCAATATTGATGGCAAAATAGCATGTGTATTTAGCTAGTTGCTCAGCAGCACGTGGTTACGCAGAAGAGTAACCTACAGCCAGTACTGTTCTGATCACTGAACAGATGCGTCGCTGTCACTGCTGGCTCTGACGTGTTTGTGCCAACGTGGTTTTGCCCGCAGGTTGGCATGGACAAAGCCCTCAACCAGCTCTCCGTGCCTTTGGGACAGCTGCGGGAAGAAGTTCTGGTAAGTCTCCCACAGAGCGTGTGGTGTCTGAGTGCCTTCTCCAGGAGCTCCCTGTGTCCAGTAGGCGGGGGTGGCTCGGTGGTCCGTGACTAGCACGCGCCTTCAGGAAAGGTGGAGATGATTCTCTGCTTTTTGCTTGTAATATTGCAAGCTAAAAGCCTGTTCGGTTTGGAGATGACAGATTCTCAGAGTAGACAGCTTTGAAGTGTCGGCGTAGAGCAAGAAGGCTCCTTCAGAATTCAGCTTGTGCCTGCTACCTCACTGGTATGTGAGTAGCCTCCAACTTACCAGTGGCTTATGTTTTTAAAATTTGCAACAGTTTTACAAGTGCTCTCCCAGGCGGTGTTTTACATGTGGAAGTGCCTCCAGACCAGTCCCCAGGAGCCGTTCACCATTTAGTTTAACTGAAGGGTAATGTCAGTACAGTGCGTACTGAGTAAATGTCACATTTTACTGCTCCTCTGAGAAAGTCTCTGCCAGGGAAATCGGACCCCCCACCCCCTGGCCTCTGAGTCACTGGGCGCAGGGACTGCATCAGGAGGAAGGGTGGAGGGGACTTCGGGCGTCACTTCCAGCAGAAAGCTGTGCCGCCTTGTCCTGTCCCGACCCTCCTCCTACCCCACCCCACCCCAGTCCCAGTCGGGCCCCCGGCCTTCCAGCTCCCGTAGCTCTGAAGCACTCTGTTACGTCTGCTGCACCCACTGTCACTGCCTGTGTGTGGCACTACCTCGGACCAGACCAGCTTGAATCACCCTGTGCACCAGCCCCTCAGACAGAGCTGAAGAAATGCACAATAACAGCCGTCAGTGCTGGGAAGTTCACAGGACGGGTAGGCAGGAAAGAATTCAGACAGGGGATGTTTCTGGAGCTGTGCCTTGAAGTAGCAACTGTTCTGGGATGTTTAGCTCTTGTTTGAATTTTGCAAAAGCTCCTTAAATGCTTTTCCTTGGAATGGAAGTGGTGTTAACTGGATTCCACATCCACCCCTGCATGGCTCTCCTGCCATCTTTGTGGTGCCCTCTGCCCCCAGCCTCCTGGCTGTGCAGCCTCTGCTAACCTTGGACTCCTCCCTAAGCACTCTCCCTGAGGCAGATGCGCTCAGACCCGGTGGGCTGCTGGCTCTCACACTTGCAGGTGCAGGCGCTGTGCCGTGGGCCACCTGCCAGCGCTGAGGCCCCGCCCTGCCCTCCCTCTATTCATGGCCTCTTGCCTGTCTCCCGGTCAGCCACGGACTGCCCCACCCGCACCCCCTCCACCTTAAGCTCAGCTCCTGAAATGGCTGGGCGATCCTGAGGTCACTGAGGGGTGCGTGTCTGTCCTGTTCGTCATTGCGTCCTCTCTGGCTGCCACCGTAGCTGGCAGTCAGTAGGTATTTTAGAATGTTTAGTGAATGAATGAATCCACCATTCGACAGAATCTTTGTGAGTTGTCCAGTTTATTCTCATTGTTTTTCTTACCTTTATCTTGGACCTAATTCCTAGTTATCTCATGCTTGGTTAAATTCATTAGCTCCTGGGCATCTTTCTCCACCTGTGACCTCCCCCTTTTCCTGGCCAGTCTCTTCCTCCTTCCCAGTATTCCCCAAACAACATTCCATCATGATCCGTTAGCACTTGAGAACTCTTCAGTTCTCTGAAAATGTGCAGAATCTGTCTAGAGACCTCATCTTGTCTAAGTGAAGTGTCCTGAATAACCCCTCCCTCGTTATTTCTGCTGCTCTCCACAGTGAGGCCGACAGCGCACCCAGGCATCGTCCTCACTGCCCCGAACACGTCATACTCAGTTGTGTCTTTCCACCTTTTGTCTCTGAGAGTCGCCTCTCCGCCCGAGTCAGCCTGCACCCTTGTTAGAATCGAACCTGAGCCCCACCCCCAATGCCGCGCCCTTCTGGGCTTTTAACTCAGACCCTCCTTCCTCTGCCCTGACCATGTGAGACTCTCAGTGTATATGCACTGTTATTCTTTCGGCCATCACCCTGCGAGACCTTGGCTTTGTATGTCATTTTGTCCCAAAATCAGCAGCAGTTGTGTCTGAGCCTTTGTGTTTTTATCAATCTCTATGATACCGGCCTGTAGATACTGGAGCTGAATTAAAGATGGAAATGCACTTCTGAAGAACTGAACTGAATGTGTGAATTTCATGATGTTGCCAAACACTTTCCACAGCACACCCTCTTTATTTTTTTGAAGAGTCTCCGGTCATCTATCAGTGAAGGAATCCAAGCAGTAGATGAACGGGTGTCTAAACAAGAGGACATTCGGGAGAAAAAGGTACATGGAAGCCGCGTGCTGTTAGAGCGAGCACTCATGGTGGCCCTCGGAGCTAAGGCCCTCCCACGAGTGTGGGACCTGGGTAACCCTCCGGTTCCTCTGCTGAGAGGAGACGGGAGAGGAGACGGGCAGTATCGCTTATCTGGAGGGGTTAGTAACCGAGCCAGGCTAGTGAGGGGCAGGGCCAGAGCAGTGGCCCTGGTCTCCTCACTCCTGGGATGTTTACACAGGGGTATGGTAAAGACATGAATTCTTTTAAAGACAACAAATAGTATTCTTATGCTTTAATGTACTTGTGGTAGCATTAACATTTTTAAAGAAAACTGTAGATTTCATAGGCTGCATGCCTGTGCATATTTTTCATTACTGTGAAATTGTTTTTTTCCCAAAGTTCTTTTACAATTATATTGTATTGCATTGCATTGCATTGTATTGTATAGTATTATAATGTCATATATGTATTTAAAATGATAAGACAGAATTTCAGAGGTACCCAAGGGGAGATAAATGAAAATACCTCATTTCTCCGTAACGAGAAGGAGTAATAACTGACGTCGGTGAAGCAGTTGACCGTGTAGGAGGCGCACACGTTTCCTGCACTCCTGCGGAGAAGGCGTCCGTACTTCGGAGGCCGGGGGGAGCGGGGTCTCTGCAGCAGGCCCTCCAGAGTTGTGCTGCGGGTCCGCTGTGTCAGAGAACCTCGGCCTGGTGCTCTGTTCCACCACGTGTGGCACTTCTTTGGTTTCCTTCCTTCAAATAACCCTCTTCATGCACAGCCTTTACTTTCCAGTGGCCTGTGTTTTCATTCTAGTTTCTGATTCATTTATCATCATAATGTTACAGTAGCAGAGTTGGGATTAGGGTTCAAGACTCCTGACTGTAGCCCAGTGCTCTTGGTGTTTTCTAGACTACTTGTTAACATATTTTTTTTAAATCAAGGAGAGAAGCCTATCACAGAGACCTTCTGTTTAATTCTTTAAGTGTCCTCTGAGCTTTGGTCTAAAGATTGGAGAAGGAAGTGCATTCTGGAAAGGATTATCAGCCTCATGAGAGCAGTGAATTTTTCTTGTTTTGTTCACTCAGGTCCCCACTGTCTAGAAGAATCTCTGTTCAAAATAGGTGGTCAGCAGCCGTTTGTTATATGAATGACCTTGTATCTTTTTGTCCTTTTAAGGATGAGAGTTTTTGTAATGTTCCTCAACCTCTTTGATAGGATTTGTAGTGTGATAATGTATTTAATGAATTGATACATTAAAACATGATAAATGTAGTACCAATAGAGAGGTTCATTTAAGATAGGTAAAAGAAGAAGGAATAAGAGTACAGAATATGAGAAAGCAAAAAGTCCAATTTCTTTTTATAAAGTTGCAATGGAATATTGAAATGCACTTGTTGTAGAAAGCCAAAATTAAGATTTGCATTCTTAGGAATTCAGTGTTACATAGATATTCAAAATGTAGGATGCTCCAAATGTTCTAAGTCAACTTTTAGGTTTGTATTTTTCTGCATTTAGTTAAAGGAAATCAGATAATTAAGAGTAAACATCATAACTTTTTTTGCTTAATTTTAATATAGATGTGTGTGTTGAGACTTATACAAGTTATTCGATCAGTTGAGAAAATTGAAAAGATCTTAAATTCTCAAAGTTCTAAAGAAACATCTGCACTGGAAGAACGCAGGTAAGGTTTTTTTTTTTTTTTTTTTTTTTACTAAATAGCACATAGATTAATACCTCACACTTAGGCTATTTTCTTTCTTCTTCTTCTTCTTCTTCTTCTTCTTCTTCTTCTTCTTTAGTTAGAACTCATTTCTGAAAAAGGCGACAATCCAAGTCATTGGCGTAAGTGTCTTTGAGTGTCGCTCAGGAAGAGCAGAGTGAGGTTACAGCTTCACGCAGTGGTGAAGTTAGAGCGCGTCGTTACGAACCTCTGTGGTTCTAGGCCGCATCCCGACCTCTCAGGGAAGCAGCAGCAGTGTGCTGTCGGGGCCAGTTTTTGTGTTTGGCATTGCCCCACCCAAGGTCTGGCAGCATCCTCATTGATCTTCAGGGTGTGGAATAGCTCTCATCTTTCTTTGATCCTTTTTTTAAACATGCCCAGAGCACGACCATTGGTGTCCCTGGACCAGCACAGTGTCATTAAGAAGCAGTATGAGACACACTCAGTTGAAAGTTGTAGTCAGGAAAGAAAAGGCTTATGAAATGGGAAAAAGGTGACCATTTCCTTGGCCACAGTGTGACTGTCTTACCCCCTTCTGGCCTGAGTTTTGAGTCGGCCTGGTAGACGAGTGGCTGGGAAGTGAGCTGAGTGGGTCGTGGCGGCCGCAGTGGGACAAGCCGTGGCCTCGTGGGCAGAGCACGGGCTTCTGCTGTCCTGCCAGCCGGGCAGGCCAGTCGGGGCCCTTCCCCTTCTCACCTGTGACGAAGGCTGATCGCGACTCCACGCACAGGCGTGTCCGGCAGTTGCTGAGATTCTGTAGGCCAGCCCCTGGCATAGACCGAGCAGTAGCCTTAACACGGGTCTCAGTCGGGTCTGACGTGAGCTGTTCTGAAGGTCGCAGTGACAGCACTGGCGTTCTTTATGTTAATCACATTAGCTTAAGTAACACTGGGTCATCTGCTGCAGAACCAGCCCCACCCGAGTTGAATACTATAGTTCAAAGTCTTGGTCGTGCCATAAAGACATGTTGGGTTTCTTCTCGAAATCTGAGACTTGGGAGGGCCTTAGAGACAACATGCTCCATATGCCTGGTTATGTAGATTAAGAAACGAGGCATCCAAAAGGGAAGTGAGTCTCATGTCCCGGGCCTCTGCTTCCCTTCATCACCACGCTGTGCAGCGGAGTGGTCAGTGCCTGTCACGTGTGTGCCTTTGCCCTGCACCTGTGCCCCTGCCCTCCCAGCCCCGGTCCGCACTCGTCAGTCTCCGCCCGAGTCCGTTCCGGCCAGCCCAGGGCGTCTGCAGCCTTGCTGCTCGGCCTCCCCGTCGCACCGACAGCTCTTCGCAGCGGTGTCCTCCCTCAGGACCGCGGGACCTGCCTCCCCAGCCCCGGCCCCTCTCTGCCTTCCCACCCTGTCCCTCTGATAGGGAGACTTCAGTGATCCCCACTCCGCTAACACTGCGCCCTCACAGCATCCCGTCCCTGGCACGGTGGACACGGTGCTATTCCTGGCTCAGAACTGCCTTTGAGGGCCTTTTCTTTGACTCCGGTGCACAGCTCGGAGCTGCAGAGAGGGAAAACCGGGTCAGTGTGAGCAAGTAGTGAATACAGCACGCCCGGTAGGCCATGAAATGAAAGTTCAGATAATCCGTAACTGATAAACCCACGTCAGGTCATTCGGGAACGAGTTAAGAACTGACCTTTTGTGTCGGTCCTGCTGAGCGGTTCCTGTCCCTCCGGACTAGCTGGGCGCTGCCGGTCGGTCTCACGTGGCATTTCGTGTTTCCTCATGCTACCCGCTTCTTCCCCCACTGACCGGTCGGTCACCATCAGGTACAGGATGCCTCCGAAAAGCCCAGTGGGTGCTTCAGTGCCTTTATGTTTTTCTCCTTTTGCTATTTCACTTCCTCTTGAGTGGCGCTGAGGCTTCGTAATGTGTTTTAGCAGAAAGAAGGGCATTTATTAAACTTGGTGGGAGATACACAGTGAATGTGTCCTCGCCTAGGACATAGGATATAAACCTAATGCTCTCTCAGCCATTTTGTAAATGTCAGTTTAAAGGAAGCTGTTTTGCGATATTTCATTTATTGCTGCCAGAGGGCCAGTTGTATTTTCTGGAGGAGACAACGGTATTTGGTATTTGAGAGGCGTCAGAGATATTTGAGAAAAGGTGTGAACAACAGGGCAGGCCAGGGAGAGAGAAGGAGGAGACAGGTCAGCAGGCCGTGACTGGGAGAGCCTGGAGAAGGCGGTGGGAGCGGGTGGGAGCGCCCTCACTGACCTCGTCCAGCTCCCGCTCCCTGTCCAGGCCCCTGGGCCGGCAGCCAGGCAGCGTCAGTGGTCTGGGGCACTTCCCTGCTGCAGCTGCACTGGGCCGTACGGGCGGCCCATAGTGAGAATCGACGGCATGGAGGGTGCTCGGCTTCTCCCCCTCCCTCCCCACCCCCGCCCGCCCCCGGGCACTGGGCAGAGGGCGCAGAATCACTCTGGAGAACGCTGTAACAGTGGGTGCGCGCGATGCTATTGCTCATCACGTGATGTGTTCTCCTGGAAACTAATACACTTCGGGAATTAAATTTCTGTCACTGTCTCTGCTAGCCCACTTTTGACGGGACAGATTTTGGAGAGAATTGCTACAGAATTCAACCAGTTACAGTTTCACGCTGTGCAAAGCAAAGGCATGCCTCTTCTGGACAAAGTAAGACCGGTAAGTGTTGTTTTAGATTTTCACAATCGGGTATTTAGGACTTTGCTAAATAATGTTGGTTTAACCTAGTAATGCCCCTGGTAGTAGTTGGTCTACAAGATTTTGAAGCCAGCTTTGAGTGTTTGCATTTAGTTTTTGTGTTTTGGACCCTTGCTTCTTCCTACATGTCATGCGTCACAGATTTTTGTGTAAAGACGCAGGCGTGTTCTCTGAATTGTAAGAGTAAAATTGACTCTGAAATTCATGTAACTCGACACACTATATGATGTAGCCAGAGTTAATTTCTCCACGGCTCTTAACTGGGCTTTAAAGTCGTACGTTTGTCAGATTTACTCTGTAGCCTAAGAGGAAAATAACTTTTTTCTAGTTCTGTAATTCTGTCTAAATTCTCTTTGATGATGCAAAGGTTTACTTATAAAGAGACTGTGGGGAGGAGGAGAAACGCACTGTTATTCTTCAAGAAATGTCGATATTTAGCCCTGGCTGGCGTAGCTCAGTGGATTGAGCTTGGGCTGCAAACCAAAGTGTCCCAGGTTCGATTCCCAGCCAGGGTACATGCCTGGGTTGCGGGCCATAACCCCCAGCAACCGCACATTGATGTTTCTCTCTCTCTATCTCCCTCCCCTCTCTAAAAATAAATAAATAAAATCTTTAAAAAAAAAAAAAGAAATGTCGATATTTTAGTTTTGCGTGCATTTTGTTCTGTGAGAATAGAAGACCCGTGACGCACGCGTCTGAGATTTCAGGAGCTGGTGCAGTGGGAGCTTTCCCTTGTCTTCTCTCGCGCAGCGGATCGCCGGCATCACGGCCACGCTGCAGCAGTCCCTGGAGGGCCTCCTGCTGGAGGGGCTGCAGGCTGCCGACGTGGACATCGTGCGGCACTGCCTGCGGACCTACGCCACCATCGACAAGACCCGGGACGCCGAGGCGCTGGTCGGCCAGGTGCTGGTGAAACCGTACGTGGATCAGGTAGGTCTGTGCCTGTCGGACCTGGTCCCCCAGACACCCCCAGACCGTCGGTCTGTCTCCCGCACCGCACCGGGTTGGGGGGGGGGGGTTGCTGACCAGAGCCCCTCCTGTAAAGGGCCCGAGTCCACTGCAGTGTCGGCTGTGAGAGGGAGGCCTGGTGGGTTACCATCAGCATGCCGGCGCTCAGGCTCTCTCTCTCGTGTTTCCGAATGATGCCGCAGCCCAGGGGCTGTCTCCAGTTAGAGGGCGGGCTCTGGCCTGGGACGGAGGTGTGTTTGGAAACATTTTTTGGTCAGTTTTATAGTTTGTAAACTTCAGTGAAGTTGTTAAAAAGCATTTTTAACTACTGGTCTCGTGGGTAGAGTAGAACACACAGCAGATGGCGATGCTGCCGTGCGCATGCGTGGTGGAGGAGCACGCAGAGAATTCTGGGAGCGTGGAAACTGGGTTTGGGCCCAAGTCTTTGAAACTACGGAGGAGTTGGCCGGGCCAGAAAGGGGGAAGGGAGGGAACAATCAGACATGAAGGGCTGTTACGGGCAAATTGCTGAGTAAGACCTTGAATCCCGAACTTGGCCGCACAGTGTCCCTCACCTGTTAGATACAGTGGAGATGTAGGAAGTGCGTACATTCTGCTGTTGAGCAGCCAGAAATAGATTGTACCACATGAAGTGGCCAGCACTCAACAGCTGTCCCACGTGCAGAAATGTCAGCTTCAGGTGGCGCACACTGATCCAAGTCCCAAAGCCCATGTCCAGCTTGTACAGACTGCCCTCCGGTCCCCTGTCCATCTGGTAGGAGAGTTCTTTCTGTCTGGCAAGTGCAGAGCTGCTGTCACCGTGATTTCAGGATAAAAGTCTTCACCTTTAAACTGGGAATAGTGCATCCCGTTGGAAACGAAATTCAAGAATTGATTTCAGTCACCGTTAGGGTCACTGAAAACTGTGACCTGTCAGTTGCATCACATTGTGTTTCACAGGCACCCCGATGAGGGTGGGAAAGACGATGACCTATAACTCATCAATGCGTGAAAATATTTGTTACTGATTTTTGCCTCTGTTTTTCATTGAACCGAGTCTGATGTGCCAAATGAAAGAAACGTGAAGTTTCAGTGGCATATTGAGTAAAACACGGCCACATTTTTTATTTTATTTAAATTAGTATGCTTATCATCTTGTTCACCCCTTGACTCTAAACCTTACCCCCCAAAATAAAATAATAAAGTGAAATAAAATGGATTATCTTTCATCTTTCTCTGTCTCCCCCTTCCCCTAAGCTGAGTGATGGTAGAAGAGAAGGCCAAGGTCAGGGCAGGAAGAAGTTGCTGTCGCTTACATCCCAGCTCAGAGGGAAAGCAGAAGGACGTGCCTGGGTTTTTCAGCCTCAGGCCAGTCTCTGTCACCCAGCTTCTGTCTCCACAGGGTCAGACCTGCATGCCCTCGTCCTGGGGACTAGTTTTGGGTGCAGCTGTTATTTACCTGCTGGTTAGAAAACACGTCAGCTGGGGAGGAGGGTGGGTCTTCTTTATTCTCTGAAGTATAGAGTTCATACCTCTCCTTTAGATGCTTTTCCTTTCAACATTATCCCTTTTACCAGGTGATTACAGAGCAGATTGTGGAGTCTCATCCAAATGGCCTTCAGATCATGTATAACAAACTCCTGGAGTTCGTCCCTCACCACTGCCGCCTTCTGCGAGAAGTCACAGGCGGAGCCATCTCAAGGTACTTGGCTGTTGTGTCTGAGCGCACCTCGCTCTCGTGGTGGCCCCTGCCAGCTGTAGTGCACGGCTGCTGTGAGCCCATGTGGGCCAGCTGGGTCCGGGGACACTGCAGTGAAGCGAGTGTCGCAGTAAAGCAAGTCACAGGTCAATTTTTTCGTTTCCCAGTGCATCTAAAAGTTATGTCACACTATCCTGTAGTTTGTTAAGTGTGCACTGGCCTTATTTCTAAAATAAACAATGTATCTACCTTAATTGAAAAATACTTCATAGCTAAACAATGCTAACCACCATCTGAGCCTACAGCAAGCCTTAACCTTTTGGGTGAATGGTCTTGCCTTCAATTTGTAAAAAACATGAAGCGAAGTGGAGTACAACAGAACACCTGTGGCTGAGGTCGGTCTTGTCTCTAGGTCACTGTTACCACGGTGCGGGGAGGCGGGCATCCTGAGCCTCGTTCCACAGATGAGAAACTAGAGGGATGCAGCTCAGATGGAGGGTTGCACCACCTCTCTGAATGCAGAGTCCAGACCCTTCCCTTCTCTGCCCTCTCCTGCATCAGTTTGAAATCAGTATTGGTTTCTCTCTGTTGGTCTAATGTCATATTCTGTCTAGCAGTGCTAGTCCAGTTAAATTCAACACGTTTTATGCTGTTGTGGTTAAGTTGTTTTCAGTTTTTCCTCCTCCTTTTATTTCATTTCCATGACTTCCCAGTTCTGTGTCATAAATAGCTCTTCACTTTTGATTAGCGCTGCTGCCGCAGGCGAGGCCTCTGCCCTCCTGTCTCCAGAGTAACAGGATCTCCCCAGTGGTCTCCCTGCCTCCACCCTCTTCTCCCAGTCCAGCCTCTGTCTCTCACATCCCCCCAGATTTCTGAGATTCATGTGCTCTGCCGTCTTCGTAAGTCGTTAGTGGCTTCTCATTGCTTGTTGATGCGGCATCGAGCATCCTCTACACTCTGGCCCCGCGTACCTCCACTGGAGAGCTCTCCGCAGCAGGACTCTCCCCGCACCACCTGGTCTCTGTCCACACGGTGGCATTGCCCTTCCCTGACACTCCCTGTGTCCTGTACCTCTGTGGTTTTCCTCCTGTCCCTTGCCACAATACGCTCCAGCTCAGATACTACTTCCTTCAAGAGCCCACCTTTTGTCCTGATCTCCAGCATTGACTTCATCCTCTGGATTCCTTTACCTGTCACCTTCACTGCTGTTGCAGACTAGTTTCCTGTCACTTTCACTGGACTAGTTTCCTGTCACTTTCACTGGACTAGTTTCCTGTCACTTTCACTGCTGTTGGGACTAGTTTCCTGTCACTTTTACTGCTGTTGAGGACTAGTTTCTTTTCACTTTCACTGCTGTTGGGACTAGTTTCCTGTCACTTTCACTGGACTAGTTTCCTGTCACTTTCAGTGCTGTTGTGGACTAGTTTCCTGTCACTTTCACTGCTGTTGGGACCAGTTTCCTGTCACTTTCACTGCTGTTGGGACTAGTTTCCTGTCACTTTTACTGCTGTTGAGGACTGGTTTCTTTTCACTTTCACTGCTGTTGGGACTAGTTTCCTGTCACTTTCACTGGACTAGTTTCCTGTCACTTTCACTGGACTAGTTTCCTGTCACTTTCACTGGACTAGTTTCCTGTCACTTTCAGTGCTGTTGTGGACTAGTTTCCTGTCACTTTCACTGGACTAGTTTCCTGTCACCTTCACTGCTGTTGGAACTAGTTTCCATCTTTGCATATGCTCATCTTCTGCACTGTACAACATTTGCAAAGAACCCAGTTCTTTATTTTCAGCATTAAAAAGGCAAGAAAGGTCTTCGTCTTCATGGAGTAAGCAATATAATTGGTCTCGAATTTTTGTTCTTTAAAGACAAAAGAAGCTGGGGTGATAAATACACTGCTTGACCTTCGAAGTACTCTCCCTGTTTTCACTGCATGATTTCTGATGAAACCTGATTTTGCCACTTTTGTTTAGTGATCATTTGGATTTGGGGGTAAGAATTTAGGGAAAGTTACAATGTAAAATGAAAGAAGCCACAGTTATGAGATAGCGGGTCATTAGATTGGATGAGGCTGGTCTTGTTCCTGAAATTTCAAGTGTTAAAACTTGTAGGTTCTTATGCACAGTTGTCAGCGTGGTAGAATTCACGGGGAAACCTCAGAAATGTGAGGAATTGGATGGTACTTCGGTAGGTGATCTTCCTTTGCTTCGGGCCCCATCACCGTGCTCCCCTTGGCCTTCCTTTGCTCACCTCCTGCCTTTAAGTTTCGAATGCTTCGCGTTTCCCTTTTTCCTGCATCATCCTCAATGCCCTTTGTAACTGGCAATGCCAGCGATGTTCCGCTTTATCTTCCAAACAGTATGGATTGGCTTTTCTATGTTCTAATTGGCCGTCTGTTTCCATTGTTGATCTTGCAGGTTTCCGTTTTCTCTTTGGGGCTTTAATTAGTATTGACTTTGAGTATGAGACCTTGTCATTTAATAGTGCTTATATTATGTGCATCTGTAGTTTTAATATCCTCAATTTTATTCTTCCGTTGACCAGATACCTGAATAGATCTGGTTCTTTCATGATTAAAAATATATCACGGGGTATGTGCAACCTGGCAGTGGGGTCTTTCTTGCCCTCTTGGCTCTGCTCCAGCCCCACCAGCAATTCCTTATCAATACTTAACTGCAGTCAGATTGTTCGGTAGCTTCCTGGGCAGTTAAGCACACCTTTCTTGATGCTTTGTCTTGTTTGAAAATTATGAAAACTTTTTTCTGTTTGTTTTTAATGCATATCAGAATGTTAAGCCCCAGTTTGATCTTGATAATTTGACGATTTAGCTACAAAAGTCTCCGTTTTGCTAAAATAAGACCTCATATTGACTTGCTGAACATTTTAAAAGAGAGTTATCTTAGAGCATGTTACTCAACATACCACAATCAAAGTGGGTGGATCAGTGAGACTGTCTGCCTGGGAGATATTTATGGGTCTTGAAGTTCAAGAGAAACTTAAGGAATCTGCCTTTATTTATTTACTTAAGTATTTAATCATCACTAACACAGCACTTACTGTATGCTGGGTACCATGCTAAATGCATTATGAATATTCACCCATGGGATGGTCCTATGAGGTAGATATCGTTGCCATCTGCCTTTTCTAGTTGAAGAAACCAAAACATAGAGCAGTGGAATGACCCAAGCTTTGAACTCAGGTTCCCGGCCCCCAAGGACCTCCTTTTGTCTCGTCGTGGCCTCTCCTCAGCTTGTGAGTTAGAACCCACAGTCCAGCTGTTCGCTGAGGGATGCAGAATAAAGCATGCACGCACAAAAATACATTATATCAGGATTTTACAGGAAATAGTTGCAGAATTGTACAACTGGAGGTAAACTTAGAGATAGTTTAGTAACCACGGAGCTGTCAGTCATCGGTAAACTGGCGTGTTTGCAGCGCTGCAGGGCTCGGTGGTGTGCAGGTCGAATGCAGGGCCTGCTCGGTGTGCGGCTAGACTTCCCTGCTGAGGCGGAGGGGGGACATGGTGCCCCATTTTAGGGGAGAGCACTGTGCCCCGGCAGTTCAATGTGGCAGTTCTGCCCCATGCGTGACACCAACTCGCTCTGCTGTGTGATAGACTCAGGGGATGTGTCAGGTTCAAGCTGAGACCGAGTTCAAGGGGTGAAACAGAAATTTGGGAACCAAAACAAAGTAATTGACAGGGATTTTTTTGTTTGTTTTGTTTTGTTTTTAAGGATTGAAATGAGATTTAGGCTGAGGAACTTTTAGTAAAAGCACCACAGTGGAATTTTGTTCTTTGTAAGTGGGAGACCATGGTGTGTTTGACTGCAATTTTGTTCTTACCTTACAGTGAAAAAGGCAATACGGTTCCTGGATATGACTTTTTGGTGAATTCTGTCTGGCCAGAAATAGTACGAGGACTAGAAGAGAACTTGCCCTCACTCTTTAATCCTGGAGATCCTGATGCGTTTCACGAGGTACCTTTCCCTCCTTCTTGGCTCCGGAAGATGTTAATCTGAGGCTTTAGCATAATCGTGTTCTTTTCTGCACAGTCCTGCTGCTGTGACTGATTGAACATTGAAGCTGGAGTTGCTGAGTGAGCATTTATCTTGAAATGCACACATCGGTTTATCCATGTAACAGTCCCCAGTACTTTGGGGAGTGAGATTTTCTTTATTTTAGAATATGTAAAGAAGTCAGTGTAAATAGCTGTGACTAGATATGTGCAGTATTTTCTAAATTTTTAAAAAAAATTCTAGACTCATTAAAAGCTCATCTCTTTGCCATTGTTTTCCATGAAAACTTCAGTTTGCATGTTTCTACTGTATAATTTTGAAGGAAAACAAAAATTATTGCTTGGATTTTGAAATGTAGTATATAATCATCCTGTATAGTTTAAAAGACGAGGATGCCCTAGATTTAGTGACTTTTTTTAAAAAATCATGTTGTCATTTAAGGATTTCATGGTTTAGGTTTCAAAAGCGAGTTCGTGTGCTCACTTTTTGTTACGTTCCATTTTAAATAAAGCAGCACGTGGTCCACAGTGAAGAAGAGAGAGTCTCGGGCCGGCGGCCCAGGTTCCGGCCCAGCGCTCCTGCTCGCCAGCCTCCCGGGGCCTCTCTGCCTTCCACGTCCCTGGGCTGTGCTTTTTCATTCGGCGTGACAGTCTCTGTCTCTCAGTTAGGGGATTTACCACATTTACAGTGACCGTAACTGCTGATGCATGTGGGTCTTTGGACTTCCCGTTTGTCCCACTTTTCTTCCTTTTTCTTCCTCTTTTCTATCTTCCGTTCCCACCTTCTCTGAAATGTGGACTTGCGGGGATTTGTTTTTCTCCTGTATTCTGTGTTTCCCGCTGCTGATCTGGAAGTTCTGCCCGCTGTGTGTGTGTTAAGTAGCCTTAGCAGCTACAGGCTCGGAAGCGGACGGGTGTTCTCCAGCCTCTTGAACGGCACAGCAAGCAGAGCACTCGAACGCGGGTCGCCCCGTTTCACAGCGCGCGTTGTCGTGTCCAGGGTCTTGTTTCTCGTCTGAGCTCTTCGGCACGTTTCACGTCGTCTCATGTGGTCGCTGTCCCCTCGGAAGGGTCACTGCTTACCCCGCAAGGCTGCCGTTTCCTCTGCGTGCTGCTCCCTCCTGCACAGGGACCTGCCTCCTTGAGTCCTTTCTCTTCCTCCTGAAATTCACGCTAGAAGGCCTTTTAGCAAGGACCTGTTGATGATAAACTTCATTTTTATAATAAACCCTTAGTTTGTGTTTGCAAATAACCTTATTGCTTTCATGTTTGAAAAGTAGTTTTGCTGGTAATAGAATTCTCTGCGCTTTGAACATTGTCTTCTGACTTCTGTTATGAAATTAGCTGTTAACCTAATTTTTGTTTCTCTGTAGTTAATGCCTTTTTCTCTCTGGCTACTTTTAAAATCTCCTCTGTGACTTTGGCGTGCTGTTTCAGTATACTATGTCTAATGTGAGCTTTTTAAAATGTATTCTATGTGGGATTCATTTAGTTTCCTGAACCTGTAGATTGGTAGCTTTTATAAATTCTGGCACGTTTTTAGCCACTAGCTCTTCAGTTGTGCCTCTCTCCCATTCTTCTGTTATTTCCTTCTAGAATTCTTGATCAGACTTCTTCACTTTATCTTTGATGCTTTCCAAATGTATCGACACTCTTACATGTTTGATCTCTGTCTCTGTGCTGCAGTCTGAATAATTTCTCCGGACCGATTTTGTAGTTTACTAACTCCTTCAGTGGTGTTTAACCTGTTTTTTCATCTGGACGTCATTTCCAACCTTAATTATCCTAATGTTCACTTCTAGAAGGTCTGTGTGCTTCTTGTCCAACCTGCCTGGTGGATTTGGTTATTCTTAAAGTGTGGAGAGGCACAGGGTGAATGTGGGGTGAGGCTGCAGCCTAGGAGACTTCAAAACCAGAGAGGCAGCACGTCTGGAGCTTTACTGGCCCAGGAACGTCAGTTATCTGTTCTCGTGGCTGAGTGTCCTGTGCTTTAGTACGTTGACAACGATTTTGTGGTTCTAAAAGCAGGGTTTTTAAAAACAAGTACCGTAAGTGGGGTGAGACAGTGGCCGTCGGCGTTTGCGATGTAAGACCCGTTGCATTTTCCTGTTCTCCCCCGAGAATCACACTGACCGCTGGGCCAGGGGCTGTCCCAGCCCGGAGATGACGCTTTCTGGGAGAACTTTGACTTTGGAATTCTGAAGCAGGACTTAATGTTCGGGGGCATAGTGTCCAGCAAGCATCTGTCGATTTCTTTCAAGAAATGCTTTCAGCTTTAATGTGACATGCTTCCTGTGAAGAGGGAAATATTCTTGTCATCTCTTAGCATCCGTCACCTGCTGAGGTGGAGTGTCACCCCAAAAGAGACACCTGACACCTTTCTTTGCCTCCGCTCCACACACCTGACTGTGCTCAGGAGAGTCTATAACTGTCACTGGAAACTAGTGGACGGGAGTTTGAAATCTGCAGTGGTCACTGCACTAAAACGCCTGTGGAGGCGCAGACCTTAGCACGTGCAGGTGACGGTTCGGCAGGTTAGAATCGAGCCCCTCGTAACTGAGAAGAGCGTGGAAAGTCCCGCAGGGCTCCCCCAGAGCCCGGGGCCCTGGGGTCTAGCGCGCCCTTGACAGCAGCCCCAGTTTTCCCCGCTGACCGGAGCTCTGTTCCCTCTGTCTCCTCGCTCTGTCTTCGGGGAAACTCTCCAAGCCCCAGCAGAAGAGGAGGTGTCACCTGTAGAATGGGGGGTGGTGATGGTAGCCATTACCCTATGGGGCAGTGTTGTGGGTTAAGTTGATTTGTATGACTTGAAGCGCAGTGTGTAGTGGTAAAGGTTAAGTGGTGTTGCCGCTGCTCCGAGTGGTGCCATTAGATCCTCGGCGGTCGTGTGCTGTCTCCTCTGTCAAAGTGACGTGATTATCCACACAGTCTGAGTCTTCCGTGTTTGAAATTTTCGACTTCTCCTCCTCCTGGAGAGATGGTGAAAGTTACCCCACTCGATCTGCCACCTCGTCCAGTCGCAGTGGACGGGGTGAGGGGTGCCCTAGAATGTGAGCACTGTCCCTCGAAGAGCACGGGACGTAGAGCCCCTGGGTTTCCGAACAGACTTGCCACGAAAGACCTGGGGTGTGCCGCGCAGCCACCTGGCGTGCCGCCTGGTCTCAGAGTGGGCACCCTGAAGGACGAGCCCTTGAGGTCCCTGTCGGGGCTAGCAGCTGCGATTCTGTGTGTTGACCTTCTGTATCTCGATTACAGTTTTAGCATGTGCCCCCAATTCTGGTTAGTCTGCCTGCCCTGAAAATGCCCCCTGTTTGCTCCCGTTGTAGAAATACAGCATAAGCATGGACTTTGTGAGAACGTTTGAACGGCAGTGTGGATCCCAGGCCAGCGTCAGGAGGCTGAGGGCCCATCCTGCCTACCACAGCTTCAACAACAAGTGGAACCTGCCCGTGTATTTTCAGATAAGGTCAGTCATTTCTTCCCCTCCCACCTCTTCTCCAAAGTAGAATGTGAACACCAGGTGAGGACGTTGTTCCCGGTTAACCGCCTTTTCTTTGTGATCACCGCACAGTTCTTTGGGAAACAGAATTTAAGGTAGAAATTTACAGGAAATACCATGATTGCCAAAATGATGGCTTGCGTGACGAAAAGCTGGGATTCGTTTTCCAGAACGTGGATGGCTGAGAACACTGCACTCGGAATGCGCTGACTCTGGGCCCAGCCCCGCCCCCCGCGCTGTCTCCTGCATCGGGGCGGGGAGAGCGGGCGTCAGACAGCAGCGCATTCGCGCGTGCCGAGTTCCCCGGCTCACCACCCGCCTCGAGCAGCGGGCCTGTCCCTCATCCACTGTGTTTGCTCCTGCGTGGCGTTCTTCCCCTCGGGCGGGTGGTGGAAACCTAGTGTTAAGCATTTCTTGCAGCTGGGTCTGTGACCCGGCGTACGAGAATCCTCGTTATCTGGGCTTCCTGCACAGTCCTTGTGACACTGCTGTCCTCGTTGTGGACCCCGGTGCCCCTTTCCTCCAGATGTTGCTGACACGGTGGCGTGGCCCCCTGAACGACTGAGGAACTAACTGTATGATAAGCCCATAACCACGTTTGTTCCACTGGAAAAAAATGGATAATAGCCATTTTTGCAGATTTTTTTTCTTTCTTTGCAGATTCTTTTGAATGAGGTCATGTAAGTTCCTTGTAGAACGGCATTGATCAGACCATCTGAGTTGGAGTGCTCTTTAAAGTTTTTGGATGCTTTTGTTAATTATGATGCAGTCCTTTACCCCCGAGTTCTGAAGAAAAATTACAGAGAGGGGAGAATATTAAGAGTCAGGCCCCTTGATTATAATTGCTCACCATGACTGTGAATGCATGTGATCATCCTCGATAATGAAATCACAGTTTTCAGAATGTTGGTACGGTGCCCTTTCACGCACATACAACGCCCACTGTGTTTTCTGCTCCGTTTTCCTGGGTCACGTCGTCATGTAGCTTATCTTTTGGTAGGAAATTAAGGGTTTGTTCATCTAAGATAGTCGTGGACTGCACTGGAGATGTACCGCAGGCAGGGTCAAGCCGGGGTGAGGAGCCCCTGTGACCCGGGAGCAAAGGTGAGGGTGCCGAAGCCCCCTTTTGTAGACGACCGCAGTCGAGACGCAGTGTGTGGGCCTGGCCGTCTCTCTCATGGTCCAGGTTTGGAGTCAGGGTGCTCTCGCTGCCGCCCCAGCATGTCGCCCCTCTGCCGCCTGCAGACTCCCCTTTCCCAGCCGTGCCCCCCAGCCCCATGCTTAGTGACCCTGCCCTGTCTCCACTGCTGGGGCTCCCCCGGCTGCCCCAGCCCCGCACCCCGGGCTCTGCGGGCCGGGCCTGCGGGTCCTCTCAGAGCCAGAGACTGAGCCGCGAGGCCTGTGGACGCTCGGCCCGTTTCCCGACTCCTCCGCCTCCGCCAGATTTCAGCCCCAAGCACCCCAGGGGCGGGTCAGCGTCTCCTCATGACCTGTTGTGTTTACATTCATGAAATTCTCAAAAGTTGGGTTTCAGATGTGGGACTTGTTCTCAACGTATTTGTTTTTCCATTTAAAAGTACAGCCAGGCGGCACTTGGCAGGCCTCGCCTATTGATTTCTCTCGGGTGTTGGACTGTTTGCCCTGGCCCATGACAAGAAGTTCCGCAAACAGGGCTGGGGTCAGAGTGCACTGTCACCTGAGTCACTGTAGGGTCACTGAAAGGAGCCCGAGCGCCAGGGGCTGGGAGCACTCTGGCACGCCCTGAGGAGAAACGCTGCTGTTACCCTCACACTGGCAGGTGTGCGTGCAGCACTGGCAGGTGTGCGTGCCGGGCCTGACCGTGCACACGTCCCCTTCCCACGCCTGGCACCCTGCTGCGCCTGCACTTCGACTGCCCCTGCAGCAGTGTTGGGAGGGAGGTCGAGGACGGTGCCCGCTGGGGAGACGAGCCCTTCGTGAGCCTCACTGGGCAGTGGGAGAGTCTCCCTCCCCTGCAGCACGGGATGCTGCGGGGGACCCGCTCTGGGATCCCGGCTGGGCTGGGAGGCCTCTGTTCTCGGCTGCCGCGCTACACCCTCTGCGGGCGGGGCTGCCACCTTCGGTCTGAAATGCTGTTTCCTTTACTGCTCGCTTTCCCTGAACTCGGTCTCCGAGCTGTTTTCTGAAAGCACACGGGTACCATCAAAGAAACCAAATTACCGGTTAGGGAAGTTCATCTTACGCCTGTATCAGAACTCACTGCCACCTGGGGAAGTAACCAGCAGGGGACGGGAGGGTGCGAAGATGGGAGAGTTGCGTACTTGGGGACACAGTGCTACGCGAGCAGCTGGCTAAAAAACGAAACCCGCAGTCACGCGCTGCAGAACGGCATCCCGGGCTGCACGGCCGCGTGCACCGCGGGGCCCCGCAGTGTGAATAGAAAGCCGGATGTCCCGTGAGCTGTGGCTCAGCAGGAATGTCTCACCCTCCAACAGGAGCAAGGGCTGTGTGTCTGTCACTCACAGCACCTCCGTCCTGAGGGCCCCGGTGACATCCCTGCTGCAGCCCCCGAGGTGCCCGCCCCACCCCCTGCCCTGGCTGCACGCTCAGAGGGCGACAGCCCCACCAGGCCTGTCAGTGGTCTTCAGAGGGCACCACTGTGCATCCTCCACTGGGGGCCTGTGCCCTGTATAAGGACACGGGTCCAAGGAGGCACCTAACGAGGACTGAAGGGCCCCTGTCCTTTTGGCAAGAGCTTCCTGTGCTGTGTGGGGCCAGCCCAAGGCCCCCGGCCACCCATGCACACCTCCTGTATCACATCACCTGGTGCCTCTCGGCCTCCCATTCTCCCCCTGCCTCCGTCTCACAAGGGACACGTGATTGACGGCACCCACATGACCCAGGGTCCTGTCCTCCCTCAGGGTCTCTCGTTAGATCCCATCTGCAGAGCCCCCTGTGCTGTGTAAGGTCACAGCCAGAGGCCCCAGGGACCAGGGCCTGGGTGTCTTCGGGGCCATCATCCAGCCTCCCACCATGGCCCCCAGCAGGAGGGAAGTTCCTGGTACTTCGAAAGAAGGGAGAATCGTTGGGGAAAGGCAACTAGCAGCAGCAAAAACACTAATCTGTGCTCTTGTTTTTATCCCAGATTTAGAGAAATAGCGGGAGCCTTAGAAGCAGCACTTACAGATGTACTGGAAGACGCTCCAGGTAATTTCCTTTTTTTTTTTCCCAGTAATTTCCTTAAAGTGAGAAACGACAGGATGTCACTGAATGAGCTCATTGAACTCACCATGTTGTCTAGACCCGAATCAATGTCTGACACCCGGGGGTCCCTTCCCCCTCTCCTGTCTGTCACGCAGTATGGTAGACCTTAAAGCCTTTCTGTAGAGAGACAGAAAGGAATCGAATTTCTTGGTTTGTACAGTTCCTTGCATTGTAGAGATGCTAAGAGGATGCTTTAAGACTATAGGAAGCAGACCTCATTTTGTTCCTGAATATCACATGTCACGTGGTCCCTGGTTGCTGAAGTGACCAGCCCTTCTTATAGCAAAGCGGCTGCAAGCTGCTTTCCTCCAGGACCAGGATGGCCCTTCCGCCCTGGGAGACGCACAGCCGGGGCTTGGGCCTCTGGGGCAGTGGGCACCCGCCTGGGGCTTAGGACAGGTGGCAGTGGCCGGCGTGCACCTCCCGGGCACATTCGCCCCCTTCCAGCCTCGTCGGTCCCGTGGCACGCTGTGGCCGTTCCTGGGTCTCCAGGCCACCACGCTTAGATTCCTGCCGCTTCATGTGCCGCTGGGTCCGTCTGCACTGCAGAGCCTGGAAGTCAGCTTTCATCTGTCGTGGCCAAAAATGCTCACGTGGAATGAACTTCCCGTAGATACGCAGTGCACTCAGGTGGGGAAGAGAAGAGCAGACAGAGGAAACAGGGCAAATTCAAAACCGAAGTTGAAACCCTTGCAAGCGGCTGCCGCTTCGGCTCGTGTTTGTTGACTTGCTGTGAAGTGCATGTTAGCAAACTACTTCTGAGTGCTGTGTGTGTTTAATATGCATCACACACCTGGGGGGCGGAGTGGTCCCAGGTGAGAAATGCGTTGCTGCGAGAGACGCAGCGGGGACCTGGGTCACGGCCGCCTGGGCGTTCACATCACTGACAGCGCCCGCTGGCGGCCTCGCCAGCCACACGGAGCCCTGGAGAATGCTGCCGGCTTCCCTCCTGAGCTGTGCGTGGAAAACGCAGCCACACCTCAGTCCTTGAACGTCTCCCGTCTCAGAACACTCGGTTCTTGACCAAGGTGTTCACGGAAGAAATGTCTCAGTTGTCGCCCAGAACTTCGGACAGCCCTTTCATGCTGATACCTGTCTGATCAGCCACCCACATGTATTATCTGGTTTCCAACAAATCGCTTCTCGAACAGTTTCCCGGGACGAAGGAAGTCCAAGAACCGAGGCGCCACCGCAGTAGGCGAGAACCCTGGGCTGACGGGTGTGTGTTCTCTCCGCAGCCGGGAGCCCCTACTGCCTGGCGGCCTCCCACCACACGTGGAGCAGCCTGCAGCGGTGCTGGTCGGCGCAGCTGTTCCTGCCGGCGCTGGCGCACCGCCTGTGGAGACTCACGCTGCAGGTGCTGGCGCGGTACTCCGTGTTCGTCGGCGAGGTGAGGGCCGCCCCGGCTCGGCCACGGTCCAGGCTGCTGAGGGTCATAGACACGTTAGGCTGAGAGCACTGAGACCCTAAAAGGCCACGGTGCCCCGAGAGCGCTATCTGCGGGGCAGCAGGAGGCTCGCTTCTCAGGCCGCACGCGCTCTGCTCCCATCCCCTGTCCTGCCCCTCCAGCGAGATGCCGCCACACCAAAACAGAGGTGCTCGTTTTCATGAGGCTGTTTGCAAATGAAAATATACATGTGTAATAGTTAATGTTTGGAAGTTAGGAATCATGTAGTTATTGAGATTAAAAGGCAGTAAAATAAGCCTTTCACTCCCTTCAGAATGCCCTGCGTTTCCCCCACCCCCCAGGTAGCTGACTGTACTAACGGCCCATGTGCCCCTGGCCATGTACTGGGTCTCAGGCACGCGGCCCCGGGGTCGTCCCCACAGTCAGCCCGTTGCTGAGCACCCGCCTCGCCCGGCCCGGCGCCAGCATTGTGGCCTCGGAGACGCCTGTCTCCAGGGCAGGCTCGGGGGGCAGGCAGGCATGTGCCCTGGTCGTTGCCACGCAATGAGTATGCAAACACGCGTGTGTGCACGTTTAAGGGAAGAGCATGGAGACCGGCGTCTCGGGGCCCAGTTGTCCTATCGCAGGGGGTTTCCGTGTGGTGAGTGCGGACTTCTGAGTCTGACAAACTCCGACCCGACTTCTCACCTTGTGGCCTGGGGGAGTCAGGGCCGTCTCAGACTCTGCACCTGTAACCCAGGGAAACGGCTCCCACCCGTTGTCGTGCAGGGTCAGGAGGTACTCATTGGATAGCACCTGCTGGCTGAGGTGTGTGACATGTAAGGGTCTCAGTCGAAGCTCGTTCCCCCTCCCCTCTGCCCAGGGGCCCCCGCAGACCCGTGCAGCTCGTTGCGCCATCCCTGAAGGGCGCCAAGCGGCTGCCCGGATGCAGCGGCTCGTGTGGGCCTGGGCCTGGGTTCTTGCCTGCTGGCCGGCAGTGCCTCTCACGTCTCTGATGAGCTCATTTGCCCTGAGCGTTCATTATCTCGTTCTTTTCCTGCTGCCAGTGCGTCTCTTCAGTTTTCCCTGCTAAACAGTACACATTGCAAACACTTGGTGTTATTCGAAGCATCATGAGGTTTGGATTTTGATTTTTAATATTGATAAATCAAGTAAACTCAGTATATTATTTACCTGATATAAATAATTAATTTTTAAAAACCTGTGATGCTCCAGAAATTAATCTGCCTTTGGTTTAAGGACCTGTGATTTCACATTTGCCTGCTACTCTCTGGCCCCAGACCTTAGGCACAGGTTCAGGGGGAGAACATCCACGGGCTTGAGGTTTGGGCTTGTTACTCCCTGAGTCCTTCACGCCCGTGGAGAGAGACGGCGTAGTGCGCTCTCACGGAGAGACCTTGACCGAGACTTGGCGGGTGACCAGCTTCTCATGGTGCCTTGTTGACCCACACATGTAAGTGCCCATGCGTCTTGCTGTCTTGCTAGTGGAGAAGCGTTTAGTCATTGAAATCCTTTTTCAGCTCTTACTCAGGCCCATCTCCAACGAAAGCACCAAGGATGTTAAAAAACCTTTGGCCGCTGGCAGCAAAGACCCCTCCGCCACCCAAGGGAACAGCGAGGACCAAGGCGGCGGCGGCCCTCCCGAGGCGAAGCCTGCCGCTTCCATCTCCAGTGCTCAGCTGGTGCTCGTCGCCGCCGACCTGGACCGGCTGCAGGAGCAGGTGGGCCCGTGTGTGTGTGTCCCCGGCGCCATGCACTCAGTGTGGGGTTTCCCTAGGAAGTCTGTGCGAGGACAGGGCACCGTCCACCTGGGGGCGGAGGGCTGGGGGGCCCCAGGGCAGCGCGAGAGAGCACCTTGTTCGTCTCCCCCGAGCTGCTTCCCTGACAGACCCCTCCTGCCAGTCCCGTCTCGCGACGGCTCACCTGGGGCCGCTGCCGCTCCCCCAGCAGCGAGGGGCCAGGCTCCGCGTGAGCCGTGCTGCGTGAGCCCAGCTTACGGTGCAGGCATGGTCTTCCGTGGGTCGGACTAGAATCATTTCCCATTCACGGACCCAGACATTTCTCGGCAATGCCTTCTCTTCAGCTGTGCTTTGAAAGGACTGAGCTGTTAAATTTCTTTCATCTGTTTCTGTGTGTTTCCTGTGTCTTCGCTTTCACCACCAGGAGAAAACGGGATGAATTTGTGTCGAAGTGCCGTGTTGCATAATTGTGCCCACCTCGGGTTTTCATAGTTGGTGGTGTTTAGACAAGTATCATTCCTTTTGAGTCAAGACATCGTCTTTCTCTGAGGTTTTTGGTCCTGGGAGAGCCACAGATTACAAAGTGGTGTTTATTCTCTAAGCCGCCTACCAGCCACAGAGCTGCCATTTCCCAAGGCAGATGCTTTTCTCGTGAAGTTTTCTTTAAGAATCCTGCTTTCTTCTGATGACAGTTACCAAAAGTCCTGAGTTGAGTTTCAGCGTTCATTAGCAGCACTCTAGACCCTGTAGATGCAGACAGAATCGCCCCTCCCTTTGACTTAAACAAGTGCTGAAGGTATAAAGTGCGTGTTTATTTCAGCTTCCAGAGCTCTTGGAGACAGTCAAGCCAAAACTTGAAGTGATTGGCGTTAAGGATTTTTCTTCTATCTCAGGTAAAAACGATTCTTTAGACTTGGCAGATCTTTGAATAAGAAAGAATTTAAAATAACATTTTAGAGACCGTGGGATATATTTCAACGACCATTCTCTTTAGCTGTAGATCCTTAGTCGTTCCTGTATTCTGCTCTACGATTATAACCTCACCAAACAAGAGGTTTCGTTTAAGTCTGATCACTCAGTCTGATTTGCTGTGCACGCTCTAAGCCCCGAGACAGCGCTTCACGTAGAGCTGCCGCCTGGACGGGGCACAGTGACTGAGCCCGTTCTGTGTGTGCCAGCAGCAGCCCTGGAGGACTCCCGGCAGTCCTTGTGCGCCCGCATGCCCGCCCTCAGCAGCCGCATCGTCCAGGACTTGAGCGAGTCCTGCTTCAGTTACCTGAGAAGCGCCCTGGAGGTGCCCCGGCTCTACCGGAGGACCAACAAGGTCAGCGCCGCTCACTGGGAAGGTCGTGGAGGTGGGGGAGGACCGGTGGGAGGGCCCCCGGGAGGGAGTCGTGGAGCAGGAGGCAGATGTGGGTGTGCAGGGGCAGGCCGGGGTGGGCCCGGGCCGCCCCATTCGGAGAGATCGTGTCTGAGACGCACCCCACGTGGACGGGCGGGTGCGGGCCAGTCGGACTCGGACAGTGTGGACTGTCAGGTCCCTTCCCTTTGTGGGGTGATTCGTCTGCATGTCGCACATTTGAAAAGATTAGAATTCACCTTGTTCCCTTCATTCTGTCCTTGCAAGTACCTGCTTCCCCCTGTTCTTCTGTGGGCCGTGGTTTGGAAAGCTGCATTCAGTGGTGAATTGGGGTTCATTTTTACCAGTGTTCTGGCTCTCCACATTGATCCTCTTTTTTGTGTGTTGGCAGTGGGTTCCTGCTAGATCTCACTTAACTTTCCCTCTGGTTTTCTTTTTCCCCAGCTGTAGAGTTGGGCATTGGGCAGTTTACAACTAGAATCATTCTCAGGAGTTGTGGAAGTCTGCTAGGACGTTGTGCAGCGTGGGAAAATCCCTGGGCTTCTTGCGGACCCCTGGGGGCGTGGTAGCTCTTCGCTGCTGAGCTGGGACCGAACTGACCTCCTCTGAGGCTGGTCCCCTTTTCCCGTTAAATCTGCAACATGCAGTTGAACTGTCACTTACAGAAAAAGAACCAGATTTCCCTTCTGGTCTGACTCGGAGCTCCCCCTTAGAGGTGGGACAGACCCGTTTCATGCAGCCGGACCCAGTTTTCTGTCTGAGATCTGCCAACTCCCCTCCTGTTCGTAGGCGCTCGCACTTGCCGAGTGCTGCGCTGGGGTCTGACACTGCTAAGCCCTGGGCATTCCCACGGGTCCTTCCGCCAGGGGGTGCTGGTCCGTCTTTACAGACGATGAAACCGAGTTAGAAAAGTCGAATTACTCGCCTTAGATCCTGCTCCTCGAATGGTGGCCTGTTGACCCGCAGCGTTAGCTCAGCCCCCGCCCCCCTTCCACACGCACACGGAACCGGCTGGATGGAGTGGGATCTGAGATCGCTGGGGGACAGGTGTGGGCAGGAAGTGATGGGAAGCAACGCCCTCGGGAATGAAGCCATGGGTGGCTGGTGCAGCCCCCGAATCCAGTCGGGCTCCAGACACCGCCTCCCTGCTGCCGCTTGCTGAGTCCCTCTCGTCCTCCAGGTGGCCTCCTATAGCCAGCCTCGTGTTGCTTTTCAGGAAGGACGGAGGTTGTACGCGTCTCAGGACTGCTACATTACTGGAATCCTTTCGAACTAGGTGTTTGAGTAACTCGCTGTCTTTTCTTTCCATACCTCTGTCGCCCCTGCCAACGGCACTCCAGGAGGTGCCGACGACAGCCTCCTCTTACGTGGACAGCGCCCTGAGGCCGTTTCACCAGCTTCAGACCGGGCACCAGGACAAGCTGAAGCCCGCCGTCGTCCGGCAGTGGTTGGAAGGCGCCCTCTCGGAGAGCACGCACAAGTAAGGGGCCTCAGGAAAGCCTGAGTCGGGCGTCAGGAGATTACCCGAGGGCGGCGGGCGGGCAGATGGCGTGGGGAGAACGCCAGGTCGCTTTGTGGGGGGCAGAGCGGGGGAGGCACGTGGTCCACCTGTGTGGACAGGTGAGCTGCGCTCGCCACACTCCCCCCCCCCCGCCACCAAGGCTGTACCTGGACTGCAGCCAGCCCGGCTGGGCGCCCTCTGGCCTCTCCCAGGGCACATACCTCGCAGGGTCCAGGCGTACCCCTCCCCTCCCCGGCGCACCTGCCTTTACTGCCCCCGACACCCTCTCGTGCAGGCCCCCTTCCCCAAGTCCCGCCACGTGATTTCCTTGCTCTGCTCGGCTCTGTCAGTCCAGGATGGCCTCGGCCATACGGCGTTGTCGGGAGGGGAAGTCCTCACAGCTGATCGAGGATCGGCATCCCAAACCCCACGGCCCTTGAGACTGTGGGGCGTGTTCAGAATCACCGACTCAATGTCTCTTCATTTCTAGTTCGGTCTCCTCTTCCCCACATGCCAGCACTGAGTTACATCAGAGTCTGTTGTTCAGTTTCGTCATTGAATTCTGCTTTATTATTAATTTTGCCGTAGTATTTTACTTATTTCAGTTACTTATGAGTTAAGTGGCATTTGTGGGTTAATTTAGAACAAAATGAATTACAATGTTGTTTCTATGAAAATGCCCAGTAATCAGCTTGTAAACAGAGTTTTTTAATGTAATTCATGTATAATTTGGACAATATATTGAGAATATTTAGAGGGCAACCAGTTTTATTTAATTTTGAAATGCTTTCACTCTTTAAAAGAAGAACTGTTCCTAGAACGGACTGTAAATGAACTTGGGGCTTGCACTGGAGAATGAGCTACAGACACTCCCTCTTGACGAAAGAGAGACAGTCTGGCCCCTGGTTTTCCCTGAGTGTCCGGGACGGAAACTGTAGCCGGAATCCATGTGCGTGTTCTTGGGTCCTCAGGGAATGCAGTGCTGGGCAGTCGGGCCCTATTCTTCTTTCAGTCTTAAGAAACGTTAAATATTTACCGCAGCTGATTTTTTATTAGAAGTCAATTTTTATATTAAAAATCTCCCTCTCTCCTGCTTTTGGTCCGCAGTGCCCAGTAGCGTGTTCAGTGTTACACGCACACGTCTGTCTCACCTGTGCCTGTGTCTTGTGCCCCAGGTACTACGAGACCGTGTCGGACGTCCTGCACTCCGTGAAGAAGATGGAGGAGAGCCTGAAGAGGCTGAAACAGGCCCGGAAAACCAACCCCGCCAACCCCAGCGGGTCCAGCAGCGGCAGCGGTGGCATGAGCGACGACGACAAAATCCGGCTGCAGCTGGCCCTGGACGTGGAGTACCTCGGGGAACAGGTGACCGCCGTTGGCGTCAGTCCAGGGACTCTGCAGCTGCGTTCTGGGGCGCCTGGCGGCTCTCGTGAGCCCAGAGGTGCCGCTGAGGGGCCGGGAGGCTGGTCCCCCAAGCTAGAAAGTGGGGGGGAGTCAGGGTCCCAAGGTACTTGAAGTCCGGGTATTTGCACCCAGGAATTTAGAGAAAGAGAGAAGAAGACTGCAAGCCGGCTCTCGGGAGTCCGTGGCTCCTTTGCGTGGCTGCGTCTGCTTGGTCTGCGGCGCTCACGCTGGCAAAGCCCGCCGGAGAGGCACCGCGGAGGTCGTGTCCTCCCGGTCCCCTGCCTGGCAGTGATCAGCGCCACGTGGCGGTCTGTGGAAACACTGGCGAGTGTGGGACCACTAGAGCCACTCCGGACAGCCGGCAAAGCACTGGCCCTCTGGCCTCGCCGTGGGGAGCGTGAGAGGCTGCCTGAGCACAATGTCTCCGTAAAACACGGCTCTGAGCGCCGTAGGGCGCGGTCACACACTGATGTGCGTGTCACCATGCGGGGGCAGGTGAGGGTCACACGCCGCCTCTCCTTGTGAGGCAGAGGCGACCTCCCCGAGGATCGGAGGACTTCCAGAGGGTCAGGAAGTGGCTTTGTCCGCTGTTCGGGGTTCCTGTTGGAGGACGGTCCCCGGGGCAGATCCTCAGGGAGGCCTCTTTGCTCGAGAAGAAGTGAAACCGGAACATCTCTATCCGAAGGTGCTTGGTTTCCTGGCTCACTGAGAACCTTTTCACAGATGAGGGTCATCACCGAAGGTCTAAGTCTTCTGCTTTGAAGCAAATGTAGGCATCTGTCCTGGCAAAAGTCCATTGCCGTGTTTCCTCATTTCACTAGAGAAGCTCAGTCTTCTTATAAGCAACAAGTTTTTGTGTTTCTTTTTTAAGATTTTATTTATTTTTAGAGAGGGACGGGAGGGAGAAAGAGAGAGAGAGAGAGAGAGAAACAGAAACATCAATGTGCGGTTGCTAGGGGCCGTGGCCTGCAACCCAGGCATGTGCCCTGACTGGGAATCGAACCTGCCATGCTTTGGTTTGCAGCCCGAGCTCAATCCACTGAGCTACGCCAGCCAGGAGCAACAAGTTTGCTATGCAAGCACACGGAACAAATAAGCCAAGGGGAGAGAGGGGGACAGGAGGGAGACGGGGGAAGGCAGTCCTCTCCCCAGTCCCCGGGACGCACCGCAGCACTGACAAACCCCGGTACACCGTTTCTCCAGAGCCCGCTGTGCGCGCTTGTGTGTGCGTGTGTTGTCACTGCCACCGCCATCACACGGAAGCAGGGATGCCGTGCGCCGTCTCTCGGTTTCCAGCGTAGTTACAGGAGTCGCTAACCCAAGTGTTTTCAATTAATCTGATTCTAAGGAAAGGTTGTTGCCGTGTTAAGAAATTAAGACAGGCCTTTTTTTTTTTTTTTTGAGAATTCTCCATTAAAAAAACCAGTTCACTTTATTATTTCCTTCGGTGTGAATTTTCTTTGCCAGCCCACAAAAGAGGCGCTTGTCCTGTTAGATGCTGACTTGATGGACCAAGGTCAGGGAGACTCACTGACTTCTTAGGAGGCCGAGGGTTGGGCCCCAGAAAGAAAAGTTTCACCAGAAGTAAACCCTTTGGCTCTAAAAGGAAAAAATAATCTGCCATTCTTTAAGGAACTGCCTTCTTCTTACTCAGTAGATGCTGGGGGTGAATATTTTCCTTTATTTTTTACAAGGGTCTTTTTTTTTCACATTCAGTGGATCGCAGCAACTCACTCCGTTCTCATGCCTTTGCAGATACAAAAGATGGGCCTGCAGACAAAGGACATAAAAAGCTTCCCGGCACTCGCACAGCTTGTTGCTGCCGCCACGGACCAGGCAACAGCGGAGCAGCAGCCCTAGGCATCCTGGGGGAGCCCGCGGGGCCCCAGCACCGGGCCAGGCGCCCGCTGGAAGAAAGCAACGCCGTCCTCTCCTCGGCCCCGAGCCCCCGGGGTCGGACGCAGCGTTCCCGCCGGGTCCCCAGTGACACGCTGGTCCCGCCCGGCCCAGCCCAACCCGGCCTGTCTGGCACATTTGGGTCTTCTTTCACCCAGAAAGAACACTAAAGCCTTTTTCCATTGTATGGAAGATAGTTTTTAAGACATTTGAAACTTTCTACTATAGTTTACAGAGCAAATTATTTTATTTTTATTGTAAACCTTAGTGAGGAAGAGATGATTTGTAAAGTACGATTGAAGTAAATGTATATACGCGAATGCAGAGAGGGCTCTCCCTGGCCCGCAGCAGAAGCAGCCGCCTGTCGTGGTGTGGCTGCCCCAGGGCGGCGGCCTCTCCGAGACCGGCGTTGATGGACTCCCCAGCGCGGCTGGAAAATGCGGGCTCCCCGCCCTCCCGCCGGTGTTTAAGGTGGTGCTCTGGCGTCCTCTTCAACCAGCCCCATGTCGGGAGCAGGAACCAGTCGGGAGGGTTTATTTTCCGAATAAATGAAGTGTCTGCCCAGAGCATGCACACCTTTCCTTTGTGAATACAGCACGAGCTGGGTCTCCTCGCCCGGGCCGCGATGACTGGTTTCCGTCTGGGCTCGTTCCTCCCCTCGTACCTCTTAGGGGGGTCCTGTCCCCGTTGAAGTGCCCTCTGGATGTGCGGGAGTCCACCCACAGGAGGCCAGCTCGGGTGCCTGCCCCCGGAAGCCAGCAGCCGCAGGCCCTCAGCTAATCCTGCACACGGTGTGGGGGGACGGCTGGGCAGGCGGACAGAAGAGTCGGGAATGTCAGGAGAATTGCTCAGAGCGCATGGCTGGCTCGCTGCCCTGCACACTGACACGCCCCTGCACTCAGGCTTGGGTGGGGGGCGCCCGCCCTCGCAGCAGAAGGACAGGAGGAGAGCAGGTGGCGTGTGCCTCTAGCCTCACCTTTGTTTGCACCTCAGCCTCCTCTCTGGTCAAAGGTTGGTTGTAGGGAGGCCAGGAAGAGGAGTGAGTGACAGGCAGCTCTGGGAGCTCTCAGGGATGACTTTGTCTCAGCACAGTGAGCAGGCCCAGCTAGAGGAGGGGCGGGGTCCTGAGAGACGGGCCCCAGGAACACCGCAGGGCAGCGGTGTGGGCACCAGGAGCTCTGTCAGCCTGGTGCTCACACCGCTGGAGCAGCTCCTGCCCCGTCCCAGTGCACGGCATGTGCTCTGGGCTTAGCCGCAGGCCCTGCCCCTGGACGGGTGAGTGCTAGACTCGGCAGTTAGGGTCAGGAAGGTGGGTTGGAGAAGCAGAGCCGTGTGAGCGAGCAGTGAGAGGGCAGGAGGGGTGTTTCACAAGGGCTCAGCCTGACTCAGCCGGGGGGGCTGGCTCGCCGGTCTGCGCATAGCTCTTCTCTGTTGGTGCAGCAGAGAGTGGTCAGGAGGGAAAGGTGGATGGGTGTAGGGGCCGAGACAGCGGGGACAAGGCAGAACCTGCACCTGTGTCTCGCTGCCTCCAGGTGTCCCAGGTTTGGTGACAGGTGTGCCGTTCTTGAGGCCGTGCACACACCTGGCCCAGGACTAGAGGAAGCTGAAGGAAGAGGTCCAGCGGGGCCACTGCCCCGTGCCAACGGGCCCTGCAGCTCAGCATGACCTGAGACCTGCACCGGCCGGCGCCTCGTCACTCCCCGTCAAATCCCGCAGACTGCGGCCGACGGGAACCTCCAAAGGAACCCGGGAGGGAGTCTGGGGAGCACAGTCCCCGCAGCCCTGGGTGGCCCAGAACAGACCTGCCCCAGTGGCCACACGGCTGATCTGGCCCCTGCAGCCCAGCCTGTCAGGGACAGACTCACTGTCCTCCCATCCCCTGAATCCCCTGACGGCTCCACCTCCCTCCTTTCCTCATGACTCAGAGGAGGGCGGCATGATTTATTAGCCCTCCCCTTCTCCGCTCCCATTTTGTAGATGAGAAAACTGAGGCAGAAACATAGGCGTTTAGAGAACTAATTCGTGGAATTTAAGCCCAGGCAGTAGTTCCAGAGCCCAATTTCCTCACCACGAGGTAACACTCCCTCCCGGACTTGAGCGTGGGGACAGAGGAGCTGACGACCGGGGACTGGGACCCAGGTTCTTGATTTCTCTTGAAGATTTTATAGACTCTTGGAAGGGAAGGGAGGAGGAAGAGAGGGAGGGAAACACCCATTGGTTGCCTGTCACACACGCCCCATCCAGCAACCGGACCCACAACCGAGGCATGTGCCTTGACCAGGACTCGAACCTGAGACCTTTTGCTTTACAGGACGATGCCCAGACGATGGAGCCACATGGGTCAAATGAGAAACAAACAAAAACGGTTTGGTTTTCTAAGCTCAGTGAAGCGCGCGGCATCTGGTGACTTTCCTCGGTGGGCCGGGGCAGGCTGCCCCCCGCCCCCTCGGCTCCGGGTCTGGTGCCCAGAATCTCGGACTGGAGGTGTTTGTCGTGGCTGAATAACAAACCGGCTCGTTACTGGATACACACTTTGCAGCCCAGGAAGACTGAGAATGCAGTGAAGAAACGCCTAAGCAAAACAAACCCATAGAATTCATGCTTTTGTGTTAAGTAATCTGCAAGATGTTGGAGCTTTGTGTCTTTGTAGTGTCCTGACCCAGTTCCCAGCGATGGACCAGCTTGGGCACAGACCAGCGGCCAGTTGGCAACGGCTTACTCCTAGCAACGGCCCGAGCCCCGGCAGCCTGCTAAGCAGAGAAGGCTGCTAGTTCAAAACGCAATGTTCTCTCCGGCCGACTGCCCTGTGGGCGACCTCAGGATGGCGTCGTTGCAGCTGGGGACTCGGGCTCCCTGCTGTGTCCCCACAGCCAGCACGAAGCGGGAGTGAATTGTAATGTAAAGCATGGACTCTGGGTGATAATGACATGCCAGCTTCCCCATTACCAATGTCTCTCAGCAGGGCGGGACACTTGTTGCAACAGACGGACCTACGCCGCCACGTTGTCACCACCCGGCACCCGAATATGTGTTGAATGGAGTGTATTTGCTGGTGGGGGGCTGAGGGGGGAGTGGTGGGACCAGCAGCTGCGAACCCCATAGTCACGCGTGTCGGGCCCAGTGTTCCTTTGCGGCCGTCGTGGGAATTACCGCAGAAGCTGGAGCTCTGACCTGCTCTCCGCGTGTCCTGAGTCACATCCCCTTGTGCCTCTCGGCCTCCCATTCTCCCTCTGCTTCCATCTCACAAGGGCCGCATGATTGACGGCACCCACATGGCCCAGGGTCCTGTCGTCCCTCAGGGTCTCTCATTTGACCCCGTCTGCAGAGCCCCCTGTGCCATGTAAGGTCACGGCCAGAGGCCCCAGGGACCAGGGCCTGGGTGTCTTCAGGGGCTGTCACCCAGCCTCCCACTGTGGCCCCCAGGTGAACACCTCTGTTCCTACTGTGCCTTTTGGAATGGGACTGCTAGGAGGGGAAGGGGTCACAGTCCTATTAGGGTCCAAGTGCCGTACGGAGGTTGCTACTCATTCATCCAAGCATGTGCCATTCCATAAACAAGGGGCTGGGGGCACAGAGGTGAAGCCCCTTGCTCCACATCACACAGCTGGGCTTCCTGTCCGCCCGTCTCCGAGCCCCCGCTGCACTGCCCCTGGGTGCCTGGCACACAGACCCCGTTGCACCCACAGAGGTGGGGAGGACCAGGCGTCCCCCTTGATGCCAAGGTAGGGAGGGACCTTGCAGGCTAGAGGGGTGCTCGGGGATGTGAGGGGACACGCTGAGATTTGGGGGGTGCCGTTGCCGTTCCGTGTGGGCCTGGGCTGCCGTCAGAGGAGCAGACCCGCCCTCTGTCCCCATGCACACCGCGGTCGGCCTCGGTCCCTCGGAGTGTGGCTTCCTGTCCCAGCGAGTGGGAGGGGTGGCGAGGCCCAGGCGCAGGGCGGGCACTGCACAAGCAGGACAGGAAAGTACTTGGTTAGCTCTGATACCAGCTGTCCCCACTCCTGGCCCGGTGCTTCCCAGCCCGGGCCTGTGGCCACGAGCCCCTCAGCTCTCACGGGCAGCCACCCTCAACTCGCCGGGGAGCCTGTCAGTGTTTACAGACGGGAGGGGTACACGCGTCTGTCCCTCCGCAGCGTCCTCACTAACCCGGCGGGCAGCCTGGGCCTGCACGGCACCCACCCTCTCAGGCTTCACCTGAGAGTCAGCAGACGGGGCCAAATCCCACCGAGGACAGGCAGGGACACACCACCCATGGACAGAAAGGAACGTGCAGTGTAGAGACCCCTCTGCCTCCTGCTCCCCGGGCCCCACGCACGGCAGCCTGGCCCTGTGCCCGGGAGTGAAGAAGCGCCCATCGTCTGGCTGCTCCACAGCTGCGTGGGGTGCGGGGCCTCCCAGGCCGCCTGCCCCTCCCACGCACAGTCACCGCCACCAAGGAAGGAAGCATCCAGAAAAGCATCGCCTTCAGCTTCTTCAGAGTCCTAGGAAGCTCTTCTGTCTGTACGGTTTGTCTGCTAAAGGGCCTACACAGGGTCCGGCAGCAGTAACGCCTGCTCCAGCGTGGTCGGCCGGGTCATGATGATATGGGTGTGATAATTCATAGTTTTAATGGGAACGTTTCACCTGAAATGTCGTACCTGGTGCTTGAGTGTGTGGTATTGTGACGTTACAGAAGGGCTTGCTTACGATTTTGTAATAAAAAGGGGGCGCTGTCTGTGCCAGACCCTGTATCTGCTCTGCTACGTGAAAGAAGTTTTTTTCCTTTTTGTTTCCTGGTGTAAGATATTTATTAATGACACAGGGTGATCAGCCACGGCGTTACAGTCTAACATACATTCCGATGCCCATGCTTTGCAGAAGCCACGAGCATCACGGCAAAGAGAATCTCGGGCCTCGCGGAGACAGCGTGCAGGTCATAACTCCCATTCACTGAGCCGCGTGTACACCCGGGCGGTGAGGAACATGTGTTTTAATTTTAAAACCCAATTTCTGTTCCCAGTTAAAGAGGAAACAATGACTGGTTTCCCACACACGTGGGTCTGTACGCACTCTTTCTGGGACAAGGACATTTTGTGCTGTGCTGAGCGCTGGTCCTTGCCGCCACCCCCCCACCCTGCCCCACGCTCCCATGATAAACCTAAGGACCCAAGGATCTGACTCCCCCGCAGGGCCTGCCGCTCCCACACACAGCGCAGCGCTGACAGAGGAGAAGCGGCTGCCTGCCAGCTCGTGGCTGACTCATTGGAAGAAAAAGCAGAGGACGGTGGTGACAGATCAGTGTTGCTGAGGGACGCTGCCCCATGCTTCGCGCACCCATGGAGGCAGCCGAGTATCCACGGCGGGGCGGCCTCACACCTCGCTCAGCGGGTTGGCCACACGGCCCAGGAAGTGCAGGGTGGTGGAGTCTTGATCGTAAGTGGCAAACAGGAACGGGCGGTTCAGGGTCACCTCCAGGGCCTCAGGCCCAGCCAGCTGCTCGGCGGGCTCTGCGGGCTGCTCCCCCTCGTCTGCTTTGAGTTCAAACAGCACACTGTTCAGCACCTGCAAAGCACAAGGGTTGGGGTTGCTCCGGAAGCTCTGTGGGGCCCAGGGACGGCCGTGCAGAGCTGCCCGCAGCGGGGGACGGCCCTGGCCCGTCCGGACAATGCACAGTGCCTATGGGCCCTCGACAGCTCTCACTCAGCCCAGCAAGAGGGCTCCTCCCCGAAGTGCCCTCGGACCTGCCCACCCCCACCTTCCACCTTGCTGTCCCGGGCAGAACCCCTGCCCCCCCGCCAACCGTGGCCCACCAGGGCGTAAGTCCTCCCATTCACTTAGCACAGGGGGCTCCTGCCCTGCAACAGAGGTTTCTGAGGCCAGGACTGGGAGTGACCCCATTTCTCCCGGCACTGGCATGGCCCCCAGAGCTTGCAGGCCCCTCTCGCTGCCAAGGTACATCATCCCAGGTGGCAGCGGGAGAGCCTGCTCTCTGTGGGGCGCTGCTCTGAGGCCAGAGCTGTGTGACTCGGCCAGCCCTGCGCTTAGTGCCACCTGCTGTCCTAGCCCCAACCCCAGGCCGGGTCGGGCTGGGCAGAGCCACTGAACAGTGTGGGGTGGGACAGGGTGGGGGCGACCTGCTGCTCTCCATCTGTCTCTGGAAAGCCCCAGAAAGCTCTAATGTCTCTCCCACCCTAGAATTAATACCAGGGTAGGACACCCACCTGGCCAGGCCCTCTTCTCCCTCCTGCCCAACCCCACCCTCCAGAAGCTTCCTGTGTGTCCCTTTCACGTACATCTCCCACCCTGGGGATGCACAGACCCAACTCAGCAACAGGCCACACGGTACCTGTCCGACACGGACGTTGGAGTCGCTGATCTTGCCCAGGTTTGCCTCGGCGCCCAGCAGGGTGGGCAGCTTGGCCTGGGCGAGCAGGTCCTGCAGGTTGTAGGACCCCCGCAGCACCAGTTGCGGCAGGGTCAGGCGCATGGCCCTGCGGAGATGACCCACAGTTAGGGAGGCTCCAGGTGGCTCCTGGGGTGAGACTCAGGCACACAGAGAGGGCTCTCGGGAGACCCGGGCAGCCAGCTAGCTGACATATGTCACCCCTGGAGGGAGCGTTCACCCGGGGTGGGAGGAGAAACTGCCTTGTCACCATCAGGAAAAGGAGCAAATGACCAGGGCAGCAAACCAGGGGGTGTCTGGAGTCCAGGGCGGCTCCCCAGGAAAGGCCCCCCCAGGCTTCTCAGAGGGGGCCAACCCCCCTGGGAAGCCAACCCCCAAGGAGCGCTTAGAACACGCAGATGGTGGGTGTCTGGGCTGGTGCCCAAAAGGCCCCGCTCGCTGGGCACATTGAAATGCACTCTGACCCCCAACATGGGGAAGAGGCGGGGAATCACCTCTGCTGCCCCCAGATAGACGGTGATTAATAAACCGAGTGCTGGGCCAGCAGCGGGTGGAGAGAGGAGGGTGGGTGCATGCCTTCTGCTCCCAGAGGCAGAGGCCCCATCCTTGCTCCCCGCCCAGGGCTCTGCCAGCAGCGGCACCCATGTCCCCCCAGGCTCCCCACGCCCCCTCCCGCCCTAAGCAGAAGGACCGGCACAGCTCCCCGCTTTCCAGAGGAGGCAGCCAGGAGGTTCCCAGGGATCCCCAGGGGCCATACCGGGGAGCCAGGTTCTTGGTCCAGGTCAGGAAGTCGTGCTGGAAGGTGAGGGCCTCGACCTCCTGCAGGGCCGAGGCGCAGTGGGGCTGGATCAGCAGCAGGCCCACGTTCGGGCTGAGGGGCACCCGGGTCATGGAGAGGTTGTTGTGGGCGTCGCTCCAGTGCTGGAAGGTGCCCGTGGCCGAGAGCATGGGGACGGACACGGAGGTGGTGTTGTCCACCCAGAACTCCTGGGGGCCAGCCAGCGGGGAGAAGCCCTTCATCTGCGCTGGAGACCGAGACGGAGACAGAAGGGGAGGGTCAGCCAGGCCGCACAGGCAGGCGGGCAGGCGGGCTCGGGGCGGGGGCCGGGTGGAGAGCCAGGCCTAGGCGGGCGACCCCAGCACTCGCGGGGGGGCTGCCCAACAGTCCCCAGCCCGGCCCAAGGCCCCTGCGTTTTCCCCAGGGCCGGTCCAGTCCTCCTCCTGCCAAACCGGCCATGTCGAGTTCACCACGGTAACGCCGACAGCCGGTGATGAAGATGCGGCACAGCCAGGCTCCAGCCTGAGACCGCACGCTCTCCCCTTACTCAAGGGCATCCGAGAGCTTAAGGAAGACACCGCGCCAGGTGCTCACGGGGCAAACAGACCCCAGGTCTGTCCTGGCCTGAGGCCACTGACCCAGCCTGCTTCCTTTGTTTTTTGTTTTTTAATAAAGTTTACTTTTTAGAGCAGTTTTAGGCTCACAGAAGAATGAAGAGGCAGGTCCAGGGATTTCCCATGTACCTGCTACCCCGCCCCCACCACACCGCCTCCCTCACCGTCCGCACGGCCACCCCCAACGCTGATGAACCTACGGCCACCCCCCAGCCACCGCCCAGAGTCCCCCCCTCCCACCCGGGCTCGCTCTGGGGGTGGCGCGTCTGCGGTCTGCACGAGAATGTGGTGGTGTGAACCCACCACCGCCGTTTCCCACAGGGGAGTCTCCACAGGCTCGTGATCACCAGAGGGAAGGGGGCGGGAGCAGGCGGGAGGGAGGGAACGGAGTTAAGTTGTGGTAGAAGGAGACGACTTGGGGTGCTGGACACCCTGTTCTCCCGAAACCGATGCAGTTTCACGAACCCGTGTCACCCCAGGAAATTCAACGAACAAGAAACTTCGGTGACCCCCCTCACACACCACCCCTTGGGGACCTCGGCACTGGCCCACCAGGCCCGGCGGGAGGCTGTTTAGTTTAAAGGGGAAAAACACAAGATTCTTTCCACCAACAACCTGAACACAAACAGACGCTGGAATGTGAGCCGGGGGGCCGCCCTCGTCCCTCTGCTCATCTGCAAAGCGGAGGTTCAGTAAATCCCTCAAGGTTAAGTCAACAGGTGTCGCCGGACCTGCCAGGGCCAGCGCCTGGGCTCGAGGCGACAGTAAGTGCTGGGCAAAGGGCGCCTGGCGCTCCCGGGCCCCCAGTCCCCAGCCCTCGCTGGTTAGACACCCCCAGTCATGCAAGGGGGGGGGCAGTCCGCTGTGACAAGACGTTACTATGAAAAGGGACTTGGAGCCCCCGACAGAGTCCGCTCATTCCCTGAATGGACATGCTGGTGGGCTGGAAGGGGGTGTGCACCTCCACGTGATGGAAACTGAGGCACGGACAGCTCAGGGCGCCAGATCAGAGGACGGCGCCACGGCAGGGCTGCAAGAGCCCCCTAGGACTTCACCATCCTGAGCGTAGTTCACCTTTTTCTGCGATACGTCTCCCCTTCCTTCTCACTCGCCTTCCTGTCCAGCTGCGTCCTGCAGAATCACGTGGACGGGCACTTTTCCAAAGCGAGGCCCCATTTCTGACCCAGTGGCTGTCCGGCTTTGCCTTTTGGGGGCACGACTTTCTCGGTGAGCCCTCCCCTGAGGCTGCTCTCGGGGACCAGGGACCACAGGCCAGCCTCTGGCCTCCTCCCCGCTCCACGGTGTGGCTGGACTCTGCCCCTGCGACCTGTCCGACCCGGGGCCTGAGCAATCGGGCCCGTCTTCTTCCTCTGCCACCCGAGGGCGGCTGGGGGTCCTTTCCAGGTGCGGTCTCATGAACTTCCTGCATGTGACCGGACGTGGTCTTGCTCTCCTTGACCTCCCTCTCAGCAGCTCTGTCTTCCCCTGACGACTTTCTCGGCTCCCTGTCCGCCGTGATGCTGCTCGTCTAGATCTAGCCTCCTCAATGTCCCGGAGACGCAGGGCTCCCCAGCCCGCCCAGCATCGCAGGGCCACTGGCTCCGAGCGAGTCCCCAGAGAGCTCGCCTGCACCGTTGCAGAGCCTCCCGAGGACCCACCGGTCCCCAGTGCACGCGGCACGGCCGAGGGCACGACCTCCGGGCAGAGCGCGGGTCCACGTGGACGCCTGCCACCGAAGAGCTCCACCCTTCCCGGCAGCCGGTCCAAGTCTCAAAGTCTGGCCCCCACCCATCGCCCGGCCCTGCCTTCCGCTGGTCCCCCCTCTCTTCCTAATTTCCCGACCTCGTCCCTCACCTTGAACTTGGCTGCCTTTGCTGGCAGGTTTCTCTTCACTGAAGCCCTGCTCCCCTTGTCCCCCCCCAAGGCCTCTGTCCACTCCCCAGCGACCCCCTCCTCTGAGTGCTCCGAGCCTCCCAGAGTACCTTCGTGGGGGACTTCTGCCTGCAGCTCTGTGGCCAGGGCACCTGCCCACAGGGTCTGTCCCCCACATTGAACTTCAACAGCCTGGGATCGGGTCCTGTGCATCCCTCCCACTTGGCGCCTCTGAGACGCCCAGCTCAGCATCTTGCAGCTTCTCCACGATTATTTGTTGAATGAATGAGCAACCTGTGTTGCAGGGACTGCTGGGTATTCACCCCCCAACGTGAGAGCGATTTAAGCAAACAAAGTGGTTATTTTTGTACGAGACAGTGACCTTCACAAGAGACAGAAACCCAGGCCTCTGAGCATGGAGCTGGGCCATCTTGGGCAAGTCACTGCATTTCTCTGAGTCTCTGTGTCTTTACCGGGGACAGAGGCAGTGACAGCTCTTCACCACATCACAGGGGATCAGAGGACGAGAGTGAAAGGAGGCAGGAGAGTCGCTGGGGAGACAGGGCAGCGGGTAGGGAGGCAGATGCCCGAGCCGTGCTCACCCAGGAGCCCAGGGGGACAGCCACTCCTGTCCGTCCGTACTTGCCACGTCTGCCACCCTGCCCACCACTGAGGCCGGGCCTGACTCAGCAGAAACGTCGGACGTTAGAGCCAGAGAGACCGAGAACTGCTGTCCTCGGGCACCGGCCTGCGTGCGGAGTCCCCGGGAGGCCTTGCCTTACCTTGAAAGTGGACGTAGGCGCTGAAGATCAGGGTGCTGTCCGGGCTGGCCCCCGTCGGGGCACCGCCCATCTTCCACCCGGTGACGGCCTGCATGAACCTGTCGATCCTCTCAGCCGCCAGCTCTGGGTCCGTAGCCAGGTCTAGAGAGCGCGGGAGGGTGACGGGGGCGAAGGGGGCCAGGCCCTGCACGAAGGACCGCTTCAGGCGCAGGCCGGGGGCCGTGAACAGGCCCACCACGGTGGACAGCAGCAGTCCGGCCTGGCTGCCTTCCCCGCCCTGCAGGACCAGAAGGCCCTGGATGGCCTGCAGGGTATCGAGGACCTTGTGGCCGTCCAGCCGGGAGGTGCAGCTCTGATCCTCCCCGGGCACGCCCAGGAAGGTCTGCAGTCTGCGGGCCGTGGGGTCCAAGGCCCCCAGGTAGAAGGAGGTCAGGGTGCCGAAGAGAGCCGTGGGGGACAGGACGGCCCCGCGGGCGGCGGTCCACGTCTCGCTCAGCGTCTTGTACATGCGGAAGCCCATGAAGTTGAGCAGCATCCCCACCGTGGCCGCCCGCAGCTTGTCCTCGCCCTCCAGCTTCCGGGCAGCCAGCACCAGCGGCTCCCGCAGCGCCTCCTCGTCCACGGGGGACGTCTTGGCCTGGATGGGGACGGGCGCGAAGGTTGGCTCGCTGGGCGGCTCCACGCTGGGCTTCTCCAGCTGCTCGCAGCTGCTCTTGCTGTAGACGAGGAGGTGGAAGGGGTGTACGTACACCCGGTCGGCGGCGCACGGGCCGGCCCAGGCCAGGAGACAAAGCAGGGTGGCCCCCAGGGTCACACCGGCACGGGCCATCTCTGCGGGGGTGTTCGCTGCTGCTGCCCTGAAAAGTGCGGGGAGGGAGGGTGAGCGGTGATTACGGAGTGCCGGCTGTAGACAGGTGTGGTCCCACACCGCCTGCAGCCTTTCGCCTGGGGAAACCCACCCCTGTCTGCGCATGCCCGCTAGAAGAAGTGGACTCCAAGGCCCACAGAGAACATCTCGGTGACCCGGGTGCAGAGCACCCTGTGGCGGCGGAGGCGTGCTTTTGCGGGGCTCTGTCTGGGGGTTCGTTTTGTTGTGTTTCTGTCATGGTGGGCCTCTCCCTTCCTGTCTACACCGTCCCCGCATAGAAGGTTGAGTCGCCGGGGAAAACCTGGGGACTTAGTGCTGGTGAACCCCGCGGAAACAGGCCCCACCCACTTTGCTTTCTGAACTGGCACGGACCCCCGCTCCAGTGGAGCCATCTCACGGTCATTCTCAAGGCAGAGGCCATTGTTTGCCCACAGTTGTGATCAGCTCTCCCGCCCCGAGGGTCCTCCGTCAGCCGCCAGCCCTCCCAACAGGGGGTCCGGGCCTTGTGGGTGCTCCCGGCAGTGGGGTGGGCCTCTCCTCCTCACCCCTTCTTGGTCTCCCTCTCCACCAGCCCCTCCTTCTCGATGGCCCTGCTCCTGGCGGCTCCGTGGCTCAGTGAAGACGGCGAGGCTGCCGGCTCACACAGAATCCTGCTTCCCCTTGCCAGGGCTGCCGCAGGCTTTTCATCTACCAGCTCCTCCCATCTCCGCAACAGCCCGCCCCTGACCGCCGGGCACTCTGAGCTCACCCTGCCCTGTCCTCCTTCTGCCGTGGCCCTGCTCACCTGGTGGCACTGTGTACTGTTTACTGTTCGTCTGTTAGCTGATTGCCCACCTCCTCCTATGTGAATGCAGACCCCTGAGCACAGGGTTCTTGCTCTGCTTTCTTTTGCTGACATATACCGCATTCCCTGTCCACCCCTCCCCCCACCCCTGACAAAGTGCCTGAGACATAGTAGCTACTTAAAAAGTCGTTGTTAAATAAATTCATGAATGGTTGCTTTGGGGAGGAGCAGAGAGGTTCAAGGTCACGTAGCTAGTAAGAGACAGAAGTAGGATTCAAACCCAGACCCTTGAAGCCACAATCTGAGCACACAAGCAAACAATCTGTAGTGTCTCTTGAACAAAACAGTAAGAATCTGCCTTCGCACTTTACATGGAAGTTTAGAAAGTCTACTGCTGCCCTGGTCCAGGGACAACGGAGTTCCAGGCCTGGCTATTTGTCCCATTTATAGATGAGCAAGCAGAGGCTCAGGGAGACAGGATGAGCCTGACCGCACAGACCCAGGCCTTGAGCCCAAAGCCAGAGACAGCTCTGCTCAGGGTCGCCGCAGGGAGATGGGGGGCCGCCCCTCACCTGCGCCCTGTGCAGACTCCGCCCTGGGTTCCTCCAGCCTGGCCGCTCCCCTGCCCCAGCCCCGCCGCCTGCACAAACCTCGCTGTGCCTTCTGGCTGGAAGAGGACCCGGTGGACACCTGGCCACCATGATCCGGTCCTGTGCCAGCCCCAGAGGACGCAGCCCTGCTCCAAGGGAGCAGGGGGACCGACCACCAGCCCACTGTGAGAAGGACCAGCCTTCTGGTAGAACCCATCGTGGGGCTGAGGGGGGACAGCCCAGCTCTGGATGTCTGCCTGGACTGGAGGGGAGCGGCACCTTCAGAGTCTTCAGGGGTAATGTCCCCAGTGGTGCAGGTCACCACTGTCCCCCGGCTTCTGGCTCCTGGAGGCTGGTTAGCTCTGCCCCCTCCCCACAGAGCCCCAGCCTTCTAGGCCCAGCAGACAGCTCGGCTGCCCCACTGGGAAGGCAGGAGGGCTGGGGCTTGGGACGGTGCGTGAAGAGGGGCTCCCGGCTTACCTTCCACTTCAGTCCCCAAGACAAGGGCGACTCTTCCTCTGGCCGGGCCACGGAGGCCTATTTATATCTGAGGGGTGGGGATGGAGCCGTTCCCAGACCATTGTGTGCCCAGGCTGGGGAGAGGGGGTTACATCACAGTGGGGGTGGGGGCCTCAGGCAGCCACGGGAAGGACGCCAGAGGGACTCACGCTGGGCCGGCTTCCAGGAAGTCAGGCTGATCGATGCACACGCTGCTGCTGAGCAGAGTGAGCTGGTACTCGGTCAGTTACACATTTACCGGGTTCACCGGAGCTGGGGCCGCGGTCACCGGACACAGCGGTGTCTGACTCGCTGTGAGGTGCTGGCCAAGGGCAGCCACCGAGCCTTCCGACGGAGCTCCCTCGGGGGGTGTGTGCTTCTGAGAGGCCCCGGGTGTGTGCACGGGGTGTGTGCATGCTCGGGAGGCCTGGGCCGGCTGCTGACCCTGCAGCCTCGAGTGAGTGGCTCCGCGGTTGTCCGCAGCCCCCTGACAGCCGGGGAGAGAATCACCTAACTGAGCAAAAGCATCGTGTAGAGGGTTGCAATTCAGCAGCAGTGCAGCCAGACAGTGAGGCACCAACAAAAGACTTCCAGACTGGGGTGGGGGGGCAGGGGGGCGAGGAGGTGGTGGGGGGGCGCACTCTGTTAAAGCTGGGGAAGCTCTTGGCCAGGTGGGAGTGAATACCGCTGGAGCCCAACCTGGAAGGAGGAAGAAGGTGGCCACTGAAGAAGGGGTTTGCAGAGGGAGAGGCTTGTACACGAGGAACAAGGAGCTGGGGCAGAGGGGGCTCGTTTGGGGGACGCCGACAGCAGGCCCAGGCACGGGAAGCGGGGTGCAATCAGGGAGGCAAGGCTGCCGCTGCTCCCGGGGCTTGCACAGAATGAAACCTGCTCGCTGCCCCGAGTCGGGGCGGGTGGAGTGAGTGGTGCAGAAAGGAGAGATGCTGGCTGGACCCTGAACGCCAGGCTGGGAGGTCAAAGTCGGGCCGCACAAGGGAGGGGGTGGGATGTCTGGGCGGGACAGGGACACCATGCTTGCCTCCCACTTTTCAAGTTTCACTCCAGGGGGGACACTGGGATGGGAGGCCGGAGGGAAGGTGGAGAGAACGTCTCGAATCAGGTGCCGAGAGGACAGTGAACCACTAACCAGGGGAGGGAGCTGGAAAGTACGGGGCTTTGGGGAAGAATGCACACCTGGATTTTAGACTGTTTCTCTTGTTTTTTAGATTTTATTTATTTTTAGAGAGAGGGAAAGGAGGGAGAAAGAGGGAGAGAAACATCAATGCATGGTTGCCTCTCACACGCCCCCTACTGGAGACCTGGCCCACAACCCAGGCATGTGCCCTGACTGGGAATCGAACCGGTGACCCTTTGGTTCACAGGCCCACACTCAATCCACTGAGCTACACCAGCCAGGGCATGGACTGTTTCTTTTGAAGCTTCTATTGGCACCCAGTGCTGAAGACTTGGGTGATATTTCCGATGGTCAGGAGGGAGGTCTGGGCCAGACACACAGATGTGAGAGACAATTACACCAAGTGTAACTCACGGCCTGTGGGTGGAGACGGTTCACCTGGGGACGCCCTGACCCATGTGGCTCAGTGGGTTGGGCACCATCCCACAAAACTAAAGGTCTGGGTTTGGTTCCTGATCAGGGCACACGCCTGGGTCGCAGGCTCAGTTCCCGGTTGGGGGCACGTTCAAGAGGCAACAGATCAATGTTTCTCTCTCACATCGATGTTCTCTCCCTCTCTCTCCTTCCCTTCCCCTCCCTCTGAAAATGAATAATAATTCAACGAAAATGAGGATAGAAGCTACGAGGGAAACCCAGGGAGCTGGGGGTCGGGGGAGCAGTCTGGGCAGGGGCCCCGGAGGGCTGTGCAGAACCAGGAGGCGGCTTCCCTGAAGCCGGGGGCGGAGTCTGGAGGAGGAGGAAGGTGGGAGCTGAAAGAGGCCTTTGGGACAGAATGTCGTAAAGGCTTAACGGCCTTGGTGCCGAGATGTCCCTGTCCCAACCAAGCATTCTTGGGCAATTACTCACCCGCTCTTCGCTGGTCGTCAGAGACCAGCTGGAAGTAGGTAGAGGTGAAGGTTGAGGTGGGGAGTGATGCGGGGAAGGAGGAGGAGGGCCAGGCTGAGATGGCCTGAGAAGCCGGGGGAGGGGGAGGGAAAAGGGGAGACGGACTTGCGAGCTCCGCTTTAGGAAATGTAACAAAAGGAGGAGGAGGGATGGGGAAACTCAGGGTTCTCAACTCTAAGACAGAGGAAGAAAGATCCCCTTTCATGGAGCAGCTGCTACATGGCAGTCACACCTGCCCGGGTGGCTGACGTGGGTGTTGGGGCTCCCAGCCTCTCCCTGCACGTCGACTGAAGGGGATTTGACGCCGCATTGCCCAGTTCCTTCCTCTGTCCTCCCGGCTTTCACTGGGCGCACGGCCCCTGGGCCCGACCCCTCTGTCCATCTTACTCAGGACTCACGGCTCCCGGGGGCACTCCCACACCGCTGCTGGCTGCGCTCGGCGAGCTGGTGCCTGCCACCCCGGGGCCCTCAGATCAAAAGTTCTCCTCCACCCTCCAGCCTCTGCCATCCTCACCCCCTGACCCTCCACCCTAGACCCAGGTCACCTCTGCCCCGTCCATTATCTGTGCCCTATGATCGGTGTCCTTCAGTAAGTCGCCTGCTCTCTCAGTGCCTTCTGCCCCGAGAGTCCCTGTCACATGTTTGTACATCCTGAAGTATATTTGAAAACAGCTTCTCAGGGATTACAGCGCAGGTCAGAGTTCATTCACACCGGGCCCAAGGCGGGAGAGGCTATAAGTAAATGCAGAGATTTCCCTCTTGATAACAACCTGGGGGAAAAAATAAGGAAATAACCATTGTTAGGTTGGACACAGTAAGATGTCTTCTTAAACATTTTGCAAGGTAAACAAACAGCCCTTATTCAACTCCCAAGGCTGGCCATCAGCCGGGTAGGAATTTTGTGTGAGGCTTTTAAGCTTATTAGAATAAATCAGAAAATTGCTAGAGCATGTTACCAAGAATATAAATTATTCCCAGAAAGAGTACCCACTCGAATAGTCCACAGACTTTGACCTAGTTCTGATTTAGGACAATTTTCATTCCAGTGAGTGCTACTTCTGGTGTGTTCATCCCATCATGGGGTGGCTGGGGCAGTTGGGGACAGTTCATCAGAATAAATACTGAGGAGGGAAGAGTCAGTGCTGGCTAGGGAAACCGAGTACCATATGTTGCCATGTATAACACGCACCCACGTTTTTCTGCGCACTATACATGGGATTCTTATACCCATCATTAAACCCCATGTTATTTAATGGTTATACCCATGCATAATGCACATCATCATTTATCCCTCAAAATTTTGGGCAAAAAGGTGCACGTTATACAAACCGTGCTCAGAGTCTAATCCAGGAACCAGCCATGGGCAGTTGGCAAACCTGGTGACGTATCGGCCAGGGGTGCCCTTTGAGCTGATGACCTTAGAAGGCCACGTCTGCTCTGTGGTTACGGAGACGAGGCTTGGTCTAAACCAGAACCTGCTTTCTCATCCCCTGACCAGCCAGGGAGTCACGGACACAAGCACACAAACTCTGACTCTAAAGCAAAACAAAGACACACCGGGAAGCGAGGAGTAGCTGTGTTTATGCATGTGACGCAATCCGACTTGGAAGCAGCCCAGACGAGGCAAGGGAAGAATGAGAGGGAATCGCAGCAACTACGTTTCCAGTTTTGCTTCTAGGACAAAACTCATCTCACAGGGGACCGCTTTCTGCCCGGATCAGAACTGTCAGTCCCCAAACGTACCCGGTGCGAGTCATGTGACCGCCAGGCATCATTTACTGGAACCGGGAGCAGGAGGAGCTCGCTGTCCTGCTTCCAGGTTTTCCTTTTATGACGAGGACCCTTCCCACCACTCTGAGTCCTCACCACTGCTCATCGGAGAGCTGAACAGGGCCCTGGCGGTTCTTGATTATAAAATGGGCTCCTTAAAAAGTCAGTTTCTTTCTTATTTTAATCCTCACTGAGGATATGCTTATTGATTTGAGAGACAGAAACGTTGAAATGAGACAGAAGTATCAATTGATTGCCTTCTGTATGTGCCCCAACCAGAGATCGAACTTGCAGCATAAGCAGGTGCCCTGATTGGGAATCGAACCCACAACCTTTTGATGCATAGGAGAATGCTCTGACCAACTGAGCCACCCACCCAGGGCCCATTCCCTTCTAATAAAAAGCACTCTCTCCCTGGCTGATGTGGCTCAGTGGATTGAGTGGCGGCCTGCAAACCAAAGGGTCACAGGTTCGATTCCCAGTCAGGGCACATGCCTGGGTTGCAGGCCAGGTCCCCAGCAGGGGGCACTGGAGAGGCAACCACGTATTGATGTTTCTCACTCTCTCTTTCTCCCTCCCTTCCCCTCTCTCTAAAAATAAATAAATAAAACCTTTTTTTAAACAGGCACTCTCAGTTGGGTCACCTGGGCTTCAGACTCCTGGTAATAAAACAAAATAGTTCCAGCTGCCCCATGTCCCTAGGAAGAATCTGCCCCCAACCCCTTGGCCCTTTCAAACACCACGGATGCCCCGGGCAGAGCCCTGCGGACTGCTGTACGTGAACTTTGCCTGGAGAAGGTGTAGCTGCCCATTTGGACGAAGCAAACCGTGGGCTGGAGGAGTTGGGGATTTGAAATAATAAAGATCTAGGAAGTGCTGTGACTGGAGCCTGTTTCAGAAGTTATAGTCAAACTGAAGAATTTTCTTGGTCACCAGTTACAATTGTGCAAACAAGAAGTGATGTGTGTGTGTGTTTGTATCAATTTCAACATTAGATGGTAGGATTAGGGAATCTAATCTCAGGTTCTTATGATAAGTGACAATGAACTTTATACCAAATTCTGTTGGGTGCTGACCCCTCATCTCTCCCTATACTTTTCTCCTTTGTCCATGGCCACGTAGAAATTGAGAAAAGTAATATTCACTTTCTTAGCCTCCTCTGTAACCATTAGTGGTCAGGTAAGCTGGTTCTGGCGAATGAGACAGAAACAGAAATCTGTTGAGGGTTCTCAGAGTGCTTTCGCTTTTCTTTTATAAAGAGAGTCAATGGCTCAGCTTCTACATGTTCTTCCACCCTCAAATGTTGATGTAATGTCTGGAGATAGAGCAGCCACTTTGTAAGCGTGAGACAACAACGAAACAGAATGATTTTTTTAAAAACTGGTCTTTTGCTTGCAAGGTGCCAACAATTGCATATCTCTGGACTTTTACCTGTTTGAGCATCACTAGTGACATTTTCAAACAGTCACATGCCACTGAAAACATCCCAAAACAACACACCTTTTATTCCCACCCAGAAGCCAGGAGAGTGTTCTTCAAAAATGCAGTTCCTTTGAGTAGAGTCTATTTCCTGCCAAATGGCAGCCTCTTTGTACTGGGTTTCCCCTTTTCCATCTATTGCGGTTGGTTTTGTTTTCAAGTGAGCAGTCAAAGCATGAAGTTTAGCGATTCCCCAGTTAAGTTCATGGCTCTGAGCCTGGAGTGAGGAGCCAGGTTAGTGCCAGGCCTGGCTGCTAGTTGCTACGCTCCCTCCGAAACCAACCCTGGGATGAGGCTCTGGGTGATGGGTCTGCCTCTATTTCCAATGAGATGGAAATAGATTACCCTCCCTTTCTCCATCTCCAGGAAGTTTTATGGCTCTTCACCGACATCTGCAGGGTGTTGAGTTTCTCTAAGAAAACCATATGACCCTGATGACAGACACGTTGCCGGTGCACAGGGCTTCTCATGACGGCCGTGACCCGAAGGACAGGTGGGAGGAAGCACATCACGTGCATCCCAGAAGCTCTGTATCTGCAGTAGTCTACGGCCAGTCCTGGCCAGTAAAGGAAGCGTTAAAAAGCAAAGAGCAGAATGAGCTTCATCTATTCCAGGGATTGGCCAACTGCAGCGCCTGGGCCAGATCGGGAGCGCCATCTGCGGAAGTGAAGTTCCCCTGGAACACAGCCACACTCCTCGTCTGCACTGAGTCTCTGGCTCCTCTCAGGCTGCAAGGGCTGAGCTGGGGAGTCGCAACAGAGAGAGCACACGGGGCCTGGGAAGCCTAAAAGGGTCATTACCTGGACCCTCCCAGAAAAAGGAAGCCTGCTGACTGTCAGTCTACTCTGCCAATGAGAGAGGCAATAAAGCTACATTTGCATGCTGTCCTTTTATCTAAAAATTGCCTTTGGGAACATCTGCTGCATTTTGCAGTATATTTTATTATTATTTTAATTTTTATTTAATATTTTATTTAATTGTTATTATTCAAATTATTTCAGTGTAATTTTCTTATTTTATTCCTACGTGAAGAGGTGACTATCCAGGCAGCTATGCACATAATGACACACTAAAAATTAGATGTATTTTATCTGCTCCATAATGAACATAACACACTGAAATAGTCCACACCACCTGTGTAGCCAGTGGCTGGAACTGCCCATTACAAACTTGGTCACTGACTGAAACTCGATTTTTAAAAATATTTTGGCAAAATTGAGATCTGAAAAATCTAACCTGGGACATTGGACTTGACTATAGGGCCTAAGAAAGAAAGAAAAAAAGAAAACTTTTGATCTCGCCACTTAAAAAGAAAAAACTCTCAGCAGCAGAAGCTCGAATCAGGGACATTTGATACCAACAAAACCTAATTGATAAATCAGCTCCTCATTAGAAACATCAAGTGGAAGAATTTATCCTGATGAAAGGAGCTTCTAAAAATGGAAAATGTTTCAACAATTAACCAATTAACCTTTAGAAAAATAAAAATGATTTAAAGTTACTACATAGAAATCGATCAAGAAATTAAGTTGGATTAAGGGATTTTATTCCCAAAAAGACTTTGTCAGTGAAAATTCATCAGTAGTCATATACATCAGAATATACTGTTCTTATTTAAAATGGCACATTCTTACTCTGGCCGGGTGGCTCGGCTGGTGGGGGCATCATCCCATACGCCAAAGGACTGAGGTTTCCATTCCTGCTCAGGGCAAGTGCCTTGGGTTGTGGGTTCGATCCCCAGTAAGGGAGGAGCTGATCAATGTTTCTCTCTCTCTCTCTCTCTCTCTCTCTCTCTCTCTCTCTTTCTCTATCTCTCTCTCTCTCTCTCTCTCTTGCATCAGTGTTACCCCCCCTTCCCCTGCCTCTCTCTCTAAAATCAATAAACACCCCCTCCTCGGGTAAGGATTAAAAACAATAAAATGATACATATAAAGTAAGTTTTAAAATAATAATAAAAAATAAAAATAAAATGAAACAGCACATTCTCAGATGTCCCCAGTTTGCTTTCTGGTTCTTTCCTAGTGCTGGCATGATGACCGTGGGCGGGCCTGGGAGCCATTTCTGTGTCAATAAACCATACACGGGAAGTACAATTTCCAAATCTATTTCTCCGTTCAGACGTTCTTGCGTTCACAGCTCTGCAGCACAGGGCCCGAACTCCGTGTTTGCCCTGGCGCTCGGCGGAGCCGGGAGAAGTCAGAGGGGAGCTCAGCCGCCAGAGAGTAAGCTCAGACAAGGGCCGGCTGTCCCAATGGAAAATGTCGTCAGCCTTTCCCCCTGGAGCCCTGACGCTGGGATAATGGAATGGCCGTCCCCGTGCACCTGAGGTGCTAGCTCTTGCAAAATCCAAGTTCCAGAGAAAAAAATATTTGTTCAATGATCAGTTCTTCTCCTGTGGAAAATATTGCAAAGGAACTTAGAGAAAGATAATAGTAGTTAGTGCCTCCCTACTGCAAACAAGAAGAGGGGATTTCAGAGTGCAAAGCGGTGGGGGGGGCGGGGCTGGGAAAGGCTGCCAGCTGACCGGAGCCCGTGCTCAGTGGGGGGTTGGGGCTCCTCAGTCACCACTCGCTGGATGGAGCCTCCGTGTACAGAGCTAAATGCCTCCTGCTGTGTGAGCATCCGTGTGAGAGGTACCTGAGACAGTTGCTTTGCTCATCTTAACGAAGAGAGGGACCAGCTGCCCTAAAACTGGTTCCATGGCAAAGAGTCAAATTAACCCAACATAAGGACTTGACCTTCGATGTGACATTACGAGCCGAGGTGGGAGAGGGCTCTATTTGGTTTGCATTTACAACGTTTCACAAAAGCAAAGCAAAGTACAAGCAGGTTGCTTGACTGACCTGTTGCATTACTTTCCTGTATCCTTAGCCAGCAGCCGGGAGTCTGACGAGTGACCGCGTCTCTCCAGGCACCCTTCGCAAACAGCCCTGTGCGATGATCCACTCCAAAACCATCGTGTGTATTCTTCAAACGGAAAGAATCACGAAGCTCCAGGGGACCCCCAGGGTCAGTCATCACTCTTCCTCCCATCTTCAGGTTTGTCTCAACTCCACCCCTTCCCCGGGGCCTCACGGAGGGAGCCCCGGCTCCATGCCCACCCAGCCCTGCCTGTCCAACTCACACCATTCCTTTGGACCTCGAAGCATTTTCCAAGAAGACCCTGCACTACCTGAGGAAGGAATAAGGAATTCTGGTAACCGATCTGAGGTCCTCCCTTCTCACTCTCTCCCAGAGGGTCACGTCAGTGGAACCTTCCGGGTCAAGGTTCCTGCCTCCGTCGTCTACGCTGTAGGTAATAAATTGTGGAACTTTCTGGCAAGGACTTTCCCATGAACTGGCGCCCCAGTGGGCCTTGGAGAGCCCTAAAATCCCACCCGTGGTGTTCAGGTATGACCCTTCAGCCCCGAAGGACTCTCTCCTCCTAAAGATTCGAGGCAAGAGATAAATGCAACACCCCTCAGCTCCCGGATCCAAATGTCCGGACCGTGAGCCTTTGTGCCGGGAACTGCTTCTCATCCCCGAACCCATCTGGGCGGCCTCCCGGCTCGGGGCAGGGAGACTGTCTCATAACACCGAGCATCCGGCTGTGAACCCAGATGCGTCCCCAGGAAGCAAATGTCCTGCCTCGCTTGCCGGGTGAGTCCCCGGCTGTAACCTAAAACTGTCCATCGGCTGTCAACAAATATTTACCGAGCACACGTAAACAGACTACAGTTACAGAGGACATTAGAAAACAGAGGGAGTGGACCACACACAGCTTTGTGCCACAAAGTGTGAAAATCTAAGTGACGTGGCAATTCTCTAGCAAAGTGTGAATAACCAATACAGGCTCGAGAGGAAGTGGAAATGCTAAGTAAACAACCGACCAAGGAGAACATCAGAAGTTCAAAGAGCTATCCCCCAAAGACACGGTGTCTGCTCGAGAAAATGACAAGCCTAGCTACTTCTCAGGAACCCGTCATTCTCATCTTTCGTGAATAATTGAATAATTATGAGCACCTACTCCGTCTAAGGCCCCAGCCGAGGTGTGCTGGGAGACACGCAGTCCGGGAGGTTCTCCAGCCTGCGAGGGTGTTACACCCGGCCGGAGACGCCATCAATGATTCACATGAAGACAGGACCGGCAGCTGGTCTGAGATGCTGCCGCTTACTAGGCACTTTCAACAACACCTTCCAGCCACTTCGCGTCTGCTGCCCCGTGTTCGTTCTCCCTCCAAGCGTGCGAGGCACTCTCCCCAGGGCAAAGCCGGTCCTGGCTACCACCTCCCGGACCTGGTGCGAGGGTGTGTGTGTGTGTGTGTGTGTGGAGGAGGGGGTTGGTTCTTGCTCTCTCTCCCTTACAGCAACCCTCTTTCCTGCTGGGTCTGCCCCTGCTGGGTTTGGCCCGGCCTCCCGGCTCCCTGTGGGTCCGCAGGCGCCCTGGGAGGGCACCGGGCTCTCTCTACAGTTTGCCTTCAGGGCGTGCCCCATCTAGGTCTACAGGGAGGTTCCCAGGCAAATAGGTAGAGCCCAGCGCCACTTGGCCCAGGTGCCCTTGGACTAGCACTGGCATCGCGCTCCTTCCCACCCTTCACCGACCCAAGCCCTCTGGCCGGGGAGCAGCCATGCCTTACCTCTACCGGGCCGCAGGGCCCCAGGAGCACCCGGCTCCCAGGGACGCCCGCAGCACCCACTCCTCCAGGCAGAGCTTCGAGCAGCTGAGGCAGGAGTGCCTGCAAAAGGGCATCCTGTTTGAGGATGCCGACTTCCCAGCCAACAGCTCCTCTCTGTTCTACAGCCAGAGGCCCCAGATCCCCTTCGTGTGGAAACGGCCAGGGGTGAGTGCAGGGCGCAGGGTGGGGTGGCAGGGGGAGTGGATCTGGGGAGAGGGCAGCAAGGAGCGGAGGGCCTGGAGGGTGACTGCACACACCTGACTTGAGCTCACCTGCTAAGGCCACTGGGGAGATGCTGCGCAGTTTTCAGGCAGGAATGGGGTGCAGGGGACACACTTCAGCAATGGGGGTGTGGGGATGGTACCCAGGGCATCTTCCTGAGCCCCACCCCCAGCTCTCTGACTCCCACCGAAGCTGGACCGGAGTCAGAGAGGGTCCTGTGAGGCCTGGTGAGGGAGCCGGGGTCGAAGCCTCCTCCAGGGCAGGTCTCAGGAGACTTGCAGAGACAGTGGGAGGCATTGCAGAACTGCCCCCACCTCCCCACGGGTGCTAACGCTGAGGTGACCCATGCAAGGCACTCAGTGGCTTCTATCCGAGCTTCACCTGCATGCTCTGCAGGGCGGACACTCCGTCAGCAGGTGCCAGCGCAGGTGCGATGCAGGGAACGCCAGGGAGCAGGGTCCTTCCCCCAAACTACGAGCCTCCCTTCCCGGGAGGGAAGCCCTCATCATGCCGCCCCACCTGACCGTCTGGAGGTCCCGAGGGGCACCAGCTGGTGCCTGGGGTGAGGAGGCAACGCTGGCCACGCTGGCTTAGTCAGGGCCCGACCTCTGCCTGGGGCACCGGCTCACATTCCTTCAGGGCGGGTGCTGGCCTGGGAGCGGTCCCGTGGGGACAGGAGAGAGCTGAGAGTGCCGGGCCCACGGGTGAGGCTGCGTGGGGTCCCGCCCTGCCACTGAGGCGTCCTGGGACTGCAGTCACGTCACTGAACTGCCCGAGCCTCAGTCTCCTCACCTGCTGAGTGGGTAGGCGATGGCCAAGGTGGATCTAAAGTCCAGTTTGTAGATGTTCTTAGTAAATGACGGCTACTGTCCTCTTACTTGCACGGGCACCACCACCGTCATCGTCATCTTCATCACCAGCCCCAGGCTTCATGTTACACATGAGACCAGGGTGCGTCATGCCCACCTCCTCCCTGTCTCCCGACACTCAAACACTGTCAGTGTGTTATACAAACACCTCTGGGCTCTCGGGCCCCGCCCAGAGTACACACAGCTATCGATGCCGCGTGCGCTCTTTACTGCTAGTTCCTGTGGGTGGCTGTGCGTGCATGTGTGTGTGCATGCCTCTGTGCACATGTGCTCACCTACATGCCATCCTGCCCTGGTGCACATGCAAGCTGCTTCTGCTTCTCTGGTGTTGTCCTGTGTCTGCCAAGGCTACCTCGGGATGGCCAAGCCTTCCTTCTGAGAAATTCCCAGCAGCGTCTTCCCTCCCAACTGGTCTCCCTGCCTCCGGTCTTACCTACCTGCCTCCGGGGCTCATGCACCCTCCCAGCACCTCAGCGGGGCTGGCATTGCCTAGCAACAAGGTGGGGCTCCCCCTGCTGTCTGTTGCCCAGGGCCAGTGCCCCATCCTCCTGGTCTCTGCTCTCACGGCAGCCCTCCCCGTCCAGCTCGCATGCTCCCTCGGCCTGGAAGGCCTTTCTCTGCTGGGAAACTTGGACCCCTGCTCAGTGGCCTCCTTACACCCCGAGGGTCCTGGCAGTCCCATTTCAGCACCGATGCTATTTTAACGTGAAAGTCTGTGCAGCCGCCTGTGCTCTGCCTCTCAGTCCTGTTCTGTGAGCCCCACTGTGCCCTCAGCTGCGTGCACCATCTGGCTCTTTCAAAACGATGGTAACAGCCAACAGTCACCATGGCAACAGCCAACAGTCACTACAGCCCCCGGGGAACATTTGCTGTTGACCAGGATTACCTCCCTTAATCCAAACAACCCTGAGAGCTGGGCATTGTTATGTGCCCAACCTACCAACCTACTGAAGGGGGGACCGACCCGGAGGAGCACTCGGGGCTGGGACGCGGCAGCCCAGGGGTGCTAGTGGTCCCCGCACGCACTAACACACTGCTTCCTGATGGAGTGGGGATGCCGCGATGGCCCGGAAGCACAGTGTGACTGTGGCAGAGCCGGGCAGGGGTGCGCCCCGCCTGGGCAGCCATTCGCGGCCCTCTGCCTCTTCTCTTCTAGGCCGAACGCGCCACCTCCACCCACCAGACGCAACGCCTCTTACAGCGAGATGAGCTTTTCTCTGACCCCAGACGAAATTAGCCTGTGGGGCTCCAGATTGTCTTTCTGACTTGTCTGTTGGGGGCTCTTAGGACCAACCCCTGGGGAAGGGAAGGGCTGGAATCGGGCAGAAGGAGCCACGGGGTGTGGGTTGGCCCCAGGAAGACATCGGCCGAGCCTACGGGTGCTCTGGGAGGGTCCCTCGAGTACTCTGCATAGGGGTGACAGGCGCACCGGTGTCTATAACCCACCCCCAGCCTCTTCCCATCCAGGAGCCCCCACCCTTGCCTTCCACACTGCGGTCCCCTGGCTCTGAGTACCAGCCCGCAGCCTGCAGCTCCCCCTCTTGGCCAAAACTGGAATTTCTCCCAGACCACAGCCCGATGCACAAAGCTGCTTCCCAGACACCCAGCTCTGCGTCCTGTTCAGGAAGTGGGGGGATGCAGGGGCTTTGCATTGTATCTCACAGACTTCTGGGTCCTGGGGGCAAGGTGTGGGGGTGGAGACTGAGGTTCCACTTGCAGGATGGGCCTCCAGGTCGCTGGTTTGGGGACACAGAACGGGCAAGGAATAGGTCAGTTTCCAGGGCCCTCCCCGCCGCCCCCAGGCCTGTGGCTGGAGCGCTGTCTGCATTCCGGCTCAGCACGTCAGTGGTGCGTGTTCCAGCGGCAACTGTGGGCCACCCAGTGGGACGCGGGGCAGGGTGCCCGCCCCAGCACCACCTTCTTGTCAAACACAGCTGTGCTCGGCGGCAGGGGAGTGGCACGCAAGAGCAGCCGGAACCAGAACAATCAAGGGGACATCACAGGGCAAGGGGCAGCCAGGAGGCCGGGAGTCACTGCAGTAGATGTAGTGTGACCTGCCGACCTGCGACCTGCCGTAGGGGTGGGGTGACAGACTCACTGGGAAGGAAGGGGAGGTCCCCTCTAGTGGGCGTGGTCTCCATCAGGCCTCGTGCCGGGGGCTGTCGGTCTGAGTGGGTGGAGCTGGTCTGGGACAGGGCCTCTCTCCCAGCCTGATGGCACTCTCCCCTCCGGAACCTGAGCATCCTTCCGTCAGCCCGGGCCCGATACCCAGCCACTCGGTGGGACTTTCTCTCCTGTCCTTCGCTGTGGTCCGAGCTGGGGGTGGAGCAGGGTGCCTCGGGCAACGGGGAGAATGTGTAATTGTGTGTAACTGCTTTTAAATGCTTTCGTGTTGACGTTTTATATTTATCCCTCCATGTTATCTACATATTCATGTACACAAATGATTTTATTATATACACATAATAGACATGGTTATGTGTAATATATAATAAAATGCACCTAATGCACTTGGTAAAATTATGAGACGTATATGTACATATCTGTCACTATAGTATAGATATATTTAAAATTTATACTTAAAAAATATATATTTAAATGCATATTTTGGAAAAGGAGGAAGCTGGGTAGCCTGCGTGGGGACTTGTGTTTAAGCCCGGGCACCAGGCTGTATGTGTGACTCCCTCTGACATGGGTTGGGAGCTCACAGAGGCACATAAGTGGGGAGCTGGGATTTGAACCTGGGGCGCCCGACACCTGGCCCAGGGCCTGAGAGGCTACAGGAAGCCTCAGGGCCTGGTGACGTCCTGCTTTGGCCAGAGGACTGAGACGAAGGGCTCAGAAGGCAGGACCTCTCCCCAGGGAGGTGCTCTACCGCAGAAGGCCTGGGATTGTGGGGTACAGAGCTAGGCCACCTTTCACCTCCTCAAGCCCCCCCACAGGAAAGAAAATCCAACACCAGGAAACAGCCCTCTGCTCCGAGAAAGGAGAGGGACCCTGAGCCTCCCCTTGGCGGGCCTTCCTTGAATAATAATCTCATTCTTCCAGGAAATAGTGAAAAATCCAGAATTCATCCTTGGAGGGGCCACCAGGACTGACATCTGCCAGGGGGAGCTTGGTAAGTGTGAGCGGAGGGAGCATGCGGCGACAGGCTGCACAGAGGGCCCCGAGGGGGCCCCGTGGGGGCCGGCCTCTGAGCTGTGGCCACAGCAAGAGCAGCACCGGGCCGTGGGCCTGGGCAACCCTCACCGCCACCACCTCGGCTCCTCCTTCCCTCACTGCCCCAGGCACCCGCTGCCCCGGGGTTGGAGCCCAGTGACCCTGGAGCGGCCCAGGGCCTCCTGTGGGAGCCAGGAGTCAGAAGTCAGGAGTCGGGAACGACACACACAAGATACTGTCTGAAATCTGACTCACGTTGGCGTTGTCCTGTCGTTGTGTGCTAACACGAACACACAACGGAAGAAATCAGTACAGTATGAATCCACAATTCTTAAAAATCCATGATAACTGAAAGCCAATGACCCCGGAGCTACCATGACCTGTGACTGAGCCCCAGGTGGGGGCGGCAACGGTCCGGAAACGTGCCCGCAGGCACCGCAGGGGCTGTTTCTGAGGCGCCAGGGGCTGCAGCACCGGCCCACCGGGCCACACCGACACCGAGGTCTGAGC